CGTGCGCGTGCGTGCGCGCGCACGTATGTGTGTGTGTGTGTGTGTACATATTGTTAACCACATCAATAATTATTTCAATATTTTATCGTATATAGTATTGTATATTAATCGAAAACACTACACTGTTAAATAAAAACAATTATATGCTTAAAATTGTCTAGTGCTGAAATCATGATACATTAACTGTCTCAAAAGTTATTTTAATTCTTAAACTACAGTGTTTAGATGCTAATTCTGTATATATATTTGTAAATATCTTACATTCACAAAAGATTAATTATATAAAGTAAATATTCTTGTTATATAATAAGATACTACGATTAATATATGTCTTGTCGAGAGAGTTTGTGTCTATTTTCTTGAACACATTAGTCCTTATTCTGAGATCTTTTTTATAAATGAAAATACTTCTCTAAATATGTTTACAAGTTAATTGGAAGACTTATAAGCCATATTTATACTTGTTTTTACCAATGTTGATTAATTTGAATTTAAGCTTTGTCTGAATAGAGTTCAAATTCAAGATTTAATCAATATTGATAGAAATAAGTATTAGAGATACTTTTATCTATAAAAGAGAGTTCACAGAATAAGAATCATTGTATCAACGCTGATGAAACAAGAGTAAAGATAGTAATTCTGAGTGTATCTTTTGTTACAATATAAAATGATTCATTACATTTATTATGTTTTAGAATGGCATTTTGTTAGAACAACCTGGTACAATATCAAAAAGGAGTAAGCAGTATACGATCGTCATGTGTGTATAAAATTATAAAAAAAGTATAGTCAATGGGAGAAAAATTTATTTAGCACTTATTTCGAACTTCAATATGTAATTTGATATCAGTTTATGACTGGCGGTTTATGTCTTCACTTTTATTGTCTTGATACATGTTGCATCGAAATATCATTCTCATCATCTTCAAACATATACGCCGCCATAATCGAATCTCGAAGCTGCGAGAATCGAGCTTCGAGAATCGACAGGAAGCCGGAGATGTTCGTACGTGGCGCTGAATGGCTAACTCTTCCTTTTCCGGTACGACGTGCCACTGGTGCCTGGGTAATATTCTTCGTCTCTCATTCTCGTCGCAATACGTTAGTTTCATCGCCTGTCGAAGGGCTGGCTGGCTTTCCAACGTGACAAGATATGCGTGCCGTCAAATTCGTGCCGTTATTTCGGCGTTGCGACACGTTGTTCAGTCCGAAATTTTCATTCGAACGTGGTTGAGACGCGTACACGCCCATTACGCGATGGAAAAGCCGTCTAGCCGCTTCGCTCTTGCAGTTTTCCATATATTGCTAGAGTTTTGCATGGCGACGTCGTTCTTGGCGTTTTGAGTCATTCCTATTCATTTAGATCGATCATGTCGCCGAGACGGTTTGTGTGTTACTCCGTAAGCGAGATGTGTGCTAGAGTTAAAACACAAGTTCCTGAGAGCCCTCGAAAACGTTTAATTGTGTCAAACGGTATGTATTAGCCGCTCACCTTATATGTGTCATGAAGGCAACGTTACGTTCCGATCGAATGATTTTTCTCGGTCTCGACGCTAAAATCATGGCGAAAAATCGATATCTCGCGTATTTTCGACTAGAATTCGTACTCGACAGCGATGTTAAAGCATCTAACGTCAAGTGATAATATATTACGCATTTTCTTCTCTGCTCGAAGTTATTTCTACTTTTTTTGGTCTTATTTTCTCTCGGTCATGGAGTTTTTGAAAAAAAGGAGGAGAACAAGCTTCTCAAGGTCGCGGAAGTTTCTCGAACTCGCGTGCACGCCATTTTCTACGCGTCGCCGTAACGCGCACGTAAAATAGCAGTCGTCGTTCGGTGTGTCGTGCATTCTGGGTAAAATTCGCCCCAGCTGGTCAAAATGGCTGCCTAACAAGCGATTTCCGCTACGCCATCGTCCCGATAATCGATAGCGACAGATCACCGCGGGAAGAATCACGTTCGGCCGAGCGCGATCCTACGTGCAAAAATCGCGAAACTAATTTTTTTAAGTCGGTCAAGGATCCAATTGTTATTTTTATCGGCGGATTTTATGTCGCAAAAGTATCTCGTGTGATTCCTTCAATTCCGGTATGCGCGCGCACACGCACAGGATAGGACGTGGCAGGGTAGTGGGGAGAGCGAGATGGCGCCCGCGTTGCATGCTGGGAATAAGTGAGAGGGCAGGGGAGTGCGTGAATGTACGGGGACGTCGAAGCAGCTAGCTTGATCACAAAATGGCGGACGAACTTGGGTTCGCGAGCATATAGTGCGTGTGGCTTGATAGTTTCCTCGATGTCGCGTTTTCGCGTTAGAGTAACCCTTTGATATCGCGAATCCGTATACCTCGGGCAGTCTTGGCGTTGAATTGGCAGTATATTATTGGCAGCAATTCTGGGATCGGGACGTATTGTTGCGACGCGTACATGAGTACAATGCAGGTGAGTGGCTTATCGATATCAAACTGGTGCGAGTGCAATTCTACTGCGAATTTACCGGTTTTTACAACGATTGCCGATTATTTGCGACATCGCGGCGCATTTATACGTGTTAATGCGAACACGTGTTACGCGATATCGGGTGTTGTTTGGAATAGGGAATAATCACGTTGTCCCGCGTCTTTCGGTGTACCGATAACGGGCAAAAATATTAAAAATATTCGGAAAAACCCTATAAGTCCGGCCGCAGAGGGTTTGTATGCGTAGGGCGGGGTCCCGCGGACCCTCTGGACTCAGGAACTTGTGCCTCGTGCACCGCAATTTTCCGCGACTTTACACACTTTTCCAGCCTCTCCAATAACCTATAAGTTTGTTTACGTAGATTCAACGTGACATTTATCACAGAATATATCGTAGAACCACCCTGATTTTCGTCGCGAACGTTTCCTCGCACTTTCCGCTAGCCTAGTGTTATACTTATTCGAAAATCTAAAATGTACCCATTTTTGCAAATTGAGCTTGAATATCGGGATGTACAGTCTCATCTAGTCATCAGGAACGTACAACACGATTTTCACGGTGGATATCCATGATTTTAAGGCATTTCCATCAGGCAAATGTTCAAAATATTCCTGTGCTTATGCTCTTTAAAAACTCTATGGAAATTTCCATAGTAATTTCACAATTTGGTATGGGACATTTAATTTAAATCTGTGAAAAAGCTGTCAATAAGCCTTGTACATCCTACGAGACTCTAAGTGTGCCTATTAGAATCTTGTTTTAATCATAAATTTCTGTTACATTTGTCTCATGATAATAAGAATCGTACTATACCATAACACAAGGATGTTTTGCATATCATAAAAAGGAAGATAAGCTACTGTGTAATACTGCATTTGGTTCAGTCTCAGAATAGATTTGTCTTAACATATCACGAGGATAATATTAAAAGCAAATGTACACTTTTAATTGTAAGCTTTTTAGAGGATATATGTAATTTTTGAGATAGTGACAAAGCTAGTTATGATTCATTAGAGGAATTGAACCAAAATTTCAAGCAATTTCAAGCTTATTATGTGTCTTTGTTGTGGATACACAAAATATAGAAATTGCTATGGCTTTTTTACAGAATTGCCACATAGATGTCTGTAATAACTTTGAGTAAATCTAATCAATTTCATACATACACTTAAATTTATATTTTATTTATTTAATCTTCAGCATATCACTTATAAACTATTATAATGTGTTAAAGTTCTCAATCAACAAACTAGTGGGGATCAACTTTTTCTTGAATCATTTCTACAACCATATCATGATACAATATATTATGACATATATATTTTATGTCATAATTTTATACATAGAGATCATTTTTATGTTTGTATCATTATGTCTTTAATAATAGGTTACAATATCAGTAGTATTATAACCTACAATATTGACTTCTCTTAATGTTTAATCATATTGCTGTCATAATTACTGCTGCTAGTTATATAGTTAAAATCATAGTATTCATTGAAAGTTTTTTTTATAAAGAAGAAGCAAGCAACATGTTCATTTTATATATATGTAAAAGTAAAGCTTTTATATACGTGTAAAAGTAAAGCTCTCTATTTTGATGAAATCGATTTGATTTTATGCAAAGTAGAATTTTACTGTGCTTATATCTTTAGCATAATTTTATATTGCAATTCAATGTAAATATGATAAATATTAAAAATCAGTGTAATAAAATGCTATTATAGCAAATGCTTCAGAAGGTGCATTAAGTATAGAATCATATAGTTAATGTGCATTAATAACAAACATTAATTTATCTTTTATGTATTGAAGAACTGAATAGAATATATGCATAAAAATATGTATAGCGTATATATTTCTACTGCTATATATGATTTACTACATATATGTATATAAATATATAAAAGTACTAATTCTGTGTTTGATATATACATGTACATGATACATATATTTATATTACATATTATACAATACAGGTACTGCATATATATGTGTGTATGTAATATAGATTATTCACACATATATCACTGGCTGGAAAATGTACTTTTTAAAATATTTAATAAATGTGTAAACTTTCAGCATCATGCTCTATTATTCATCTTCGATACCCAAACTTTTATTGAATTCCTAGTCTGCAAGAACCTAGTATGTTATTTACGTCTTTAAACTAATTTCTTTCATGCGAGTAACATTGAAAGTGATTTTCATCAGTATTTTGCGGAATACTTGCTCAAATTAGAAGGATCTTCGCATCTCGCTATTATTTTTTTACTTTTACTGGACGTTGGAACATGAAGAAGGAACTACTTTTTCTTGTTAGGTATGGAATTTGATGTATTGTAATATATAATGTACATTGAATCGTTATTTTTTTTCTCTTGGTACTTTCATGCAAGCCGAGAAATTATTGTACAAGCGATCACGATTATTTAAAGAGTGTCTTAGGAAATTAGTATTACGTTTGCAAGAACACAAAATGGCGGACGACCATCATAAAATGGTGGACGAATTGTACCGTTCGTCGACATTGCGTTCGGGCTGACAGAGGAAATGTGAGAATATATGAGTTCGATTGCGAACTTGATATCTTTTGCTCGTTGTCGTAATCGTATTTCCGTTTCAAATAAAATTCCTTCGGAATTAAAATCGCGGGAGATATCGAAATTGGTGATAATCTGATGGGAAAATTATTCCAAACAACACACATCAAGTTATACTTTGTAAAGAAGTAAAAATCGCAATTATATGCAACCGGTTTGATTAACTTGCAGAAGGCATTAGAGTCCGAATCCGGTAAGGAATCCGGATCGGATTCCGAGAATGAGAGTAAAAGCGATAGCTCTTCTTCCGGGAGTAATAGCGGTACAGGATCCGGCTCCGAGAGGTAAGTTCAGTTGAGACATGTTCGTTTCCCTGAAAATCATAAGACCTGATACACGAGCTTGTATCGGTATATTTTTATCTTATTGCGTACTTTTTATATTACATGAACAAGCGAGTTAATCGAGAATAATTTTTCGAGTACACTTAGGTTTCCTTCAGTATCTTTAAGAGTGCGCGATAACAATTAAACCAATCAATAATCATTAAGGGATCAAGGGATTGATATCTCTCTTTATGGATATAGACTAATCTGTCATCATAAAGTTTTTGATAAAGAGATTAGTATTTCTAGTTTATAAATATGTGTTTAACGTAAAATGCAATTATAATAATATATTGTAAATATATAGCAGAAAGAAAAGAAAAGAATTGAATACAAGTACATATCAGGTCCTCTGATGTGTAAGGGTTTATTAGGATTAGCGCCACTCACAAACTGGCTACTTGTGTATTGCTATAGCTTTATATAGCACTAACAGTGTCTTAACAATTTTGCTAACTTTATGTATACTGAATATATTTTTATGAACGCACATAATTCTTATACGTTATATATGTCATATGATGTCCGCTTTCTCGTATTCGAAAATTATCTCTTCAATGCTAGATAAGCTGGTAGTATCTTTTCGTAGCATTAGACTATACTTTCAACTCATGTTAACTATCAGTGGTATGAATCTCGACGTAGAATTGCAGAATTAGATTCACACTTATATGTTAGAAACAGCATCTTGAAATATCTCTCTTATATTGCAAGACATGCCAAGCTGTTTCAACGTTTATGTTTAATGCATTGATAATTTTTTTATCTTGTAACATTACATACAATGCACAGTTTTTTTTATTATTCGGTAGCAATTAAGCAGTTAATTTAATATGCAGATATTTCACTTAGTTGACATATTTTTATCTTTATATTTCTCCTATGTTAAGAAAATTGTTTTGTCGCTCTATATTATTTGAAAATAATATAATAAAAATTGAATACAATTATTATATTATGAATTTAATATTTAATTATGTTAGATAAATGAGGCAAGTTTTTAGTAATAATAGAGAATGATTTTTAATAAACGCTGGCAGTTTTTTTCTTTGTCTGTAATTACTCTACTTCTATTTTTACGTGATTACGTTATCAGCATTAAAGTCGTTCCGGATAAGTGCACTTCAAAATGCTGTCTCTATATATTTTCCGTTCATATATAATTAGTTAAATATGAAACATTGCCCGACTGCTTAACGCAGTGACTCTAGCTCCTCGAGCAGTTCCGGTTCCGGGTCAGGCTCTGATTCAGAAAAGTCAGAGAAGTCGGATGCACCTGCACACAGTGATAGCTTCCAGAGCAAAAGCTCAAATCACAGCACAGAGACAAAGATTAGGGTTAAACATGGTCGCGAATGGGAAGAGAATCCTGACATATATGGCATCAGGAGGTCTGGGCGTTCGAGGAAAGAGCCGGAAAGGCTCGCTACAAACCGCGGGAGCGACAGCGATAGTCGCAAGAAATACAAGAAGAAGAGGTAAGTAAAATCGGGAGGATCTCTCGGCTCGATCATGGTGATGGTAATGATGATGATGATGATGATGATAATTATTATAATGATTATGATCGATGTTGCTTGGCTGAGCGAATTACTGCGATTATTATTCTAAGAGGCCACGAAAGTATGAAAGATTACAATAGCGGCATCGATGGGAAGTATTGTAACGTTTCAAAAGGATTATTACCTTTTGTTTATACGTGAGTTGTTTATCTCTTTTAATTGAACTAGAAACAACATTTATAACATATTATATAAATACAGAACTACGTGGATTATAGAACTACAATATCGTTTAGAGGCGTGCCGAAAGCAAGAATATTAAGAAATTGTTGTGAATGAAAATATCCGTGACAGTTATTACAATACGTTTTATCGATGCCATTGATATCTATGTTATATTATCGAACTGCGAAACGCTAAATGCTAGTTTAGAGATAATGACGCTCGTGATTTTTATTAGCCAATACAAAATAGTATACATACGATTAACCTGTACCTTGGACTTTGATTTTATCGTTCTTATTGCAAAGTACGTATTTTGCTATAATATAGCTCTTTTACTGTGAAGCGAATAATTATTGTAAATTTACTATAAAGTATTATGATTTCATGAATAATCCTAATTTTCGCTAGTTTTTGCTTATTCATTACATTATGGCTCTAAACACGTAACTTTAATATGCAAATTAATGAATTTATAAATAACTGTTATCCTAACATCACAATGTCAGTTGTTATATCATGTTGCGCAACTCAAATTTTATTATCCAACAATACAGCACATATGAATTTACCGAAAAATTCATAATGTTTCTATCGACAATGTCCGTAACAAAGTTATATATCTTATGTTATATATTTTATGAATTTTTATGCACATAGCATTACTCGAAATGTGGTACAGCAATATACGTATACTTTTGAGATTAACAAGTATTTATAAATGTATACGCCTTTTATCTTTTTGTGCACTAATTAAATTTCACTTTTGTTTTGCACATGTTTGCTTATTACACTTTTCAATTTATCTCACAATGCATCTTCATATTCTATGTTATCTCAGATTAAAAACTTAACAGCTATAGGTTTTATATGTTATGAAGAATAGGACGCGTGTGCAATTTTCTGAATTGTTTCAGCTTTATTTTCTATAAATTAATCTTAAATTACGCTAAATAACAGTTACAAATAATAAGTAGATTTTATTTTTCACAGCTTTACTTTTTTCTTCTAATATAATTATCATCTTTAGTTATATTGTTATTATTATTATATCATTTTTTTGCATGAGTTGTGTACAGATTATACGTATAAAAAGAATTCTGCATTATATAAAAATAATGTGAAAATTTTTAAGAAATATATTAAAAAAATAAATAATATTTTAATTAAATTCATAATTTTAATAAGTGATTTTACCATTATTGATGTAAGCATAAAATGTAATAAGAATGGTTATATGTGTACGTATTGCTGATTTTATTTTTTAGTTCACACACTTCGTGGAACTCGGAGACTTCAGATTCAGAATCTGATGAAATTGAAAATCAAAGGCCTCCACCTAGTAAATCCCTAAATAGACGTGCGGCGCAGAAAGCGAAAGAGAAAGCCAGAGCACGAAAGAAGCGCATTTCTGAATCTACTGAATCTTCCTTCGATAGCGATGACAATAGAAGGTATATATTTGAAAAAATAAAAGTGTATAAAATAATATGTAAATTAGATTTAGCGTTATTAATGTTAAATTTTTTACTACTAGACAAGTTACTAGAAGGACAGGCACGGCTGTCAGTTACAAAGAAGAAAGCGAAGAGGGAACCGATAGCGACGATCTGGTTGAGGTCGAAGAATCTAATGCCGTATCTACAGAACCTGATAATGCTGAAACGGTTGAGCGAATTTTGGGGCAGAGGAGAGGCAAGAAAGGAGGTAGGATTAGGCACAACATTGTTAAACAGGATAGTAACTGAAATAATAAATATATCTGCTTTGTAATTTTTTGCAGTTACCGGCAACATGACTACGATTTATGCTGTCGAGGAAAACGGTGATCCCAATCCACAGGATCTAAGTGACGTAGAGACCGAAATACAATATTTGATTAAATGGAAAGGCTGGTCTCATATACACAACACATGGGAATCGGAGGAATCCTTAAAAGCACAAAAGGTATGATTAAAATTCTTATTTTGATCTTTCTTAATTGCAAGAAATATTCATGACTTTTATATTTATTAGGTTAAAGGATTAAAGAAGTTGGACAATTTTATTAAACGCGAACGTGAGATCAAACAGTGGAGAGATGGCGCTGGACCAGAGGATATAGATTACTTCGAGTGTCAGTTAGAGCTCCAACAAGATCTCTTGAAGAGTTATAACAATGTCGAGCGGATTATTGGTATTAACATAAATTAGATCTAAAAATAATATATTTTATTTACGCTGGCAACAAAAGAAATTAATAACTTCGAGTTTTAATATTGCATGCCTTTTTAGAAAATGGAGTAATATAATTTGTTATATATATACATATATATTTTAGCTGACTATGACAAACCAGATTCGGAACATCCTGATTATCTTTGCAAATGGGAAAGTTTGTCTTATGTCGAATCTACATGGGAAGATGGAGCTCTAATAGTGAAAAAATGGCCAGAGAAGATTAGAGAGTTTCGTGACAGAGAGGATTCCAAGAGAACGCCGAGCAAACATTGTAAAGTCCTTAAATCTAGACCCAAGTTTCATCAATTGAAAGGACAACCAGACTATATGGGCAAAGGGAAAGATTTAGTACTAAGAGATTATCAGATGGATGGACTTAATTGGATGATTCATTCTTGGTGCAAGGAAAACAGGTATGCAAATTCTCGTATATAAGGAATAACTTACGTTAATTGTATTTTACCGATAATTGTATTATTATTTAAGATAATTGTATTTTTTCTTATTTAATTACATTTATTTTTCTACAGTGTCATACTAGCTGATGAGATGGGTCTGGGTAAAACAATCCAAACGATATGCTTCCTCTACTATCTATTTCACACTCAGCAACTTTATGGGCCATTCTTATTAGTAGTTCCATTGTCGACGATGACTTCCTGGCAGAGAGAGATGTCTCAATGGGCACCCGATATGAATTTCGTTACTTACTTGGGTGATGTCTCTTCCCGCAATGTTGTAAGTATTATTTTTTATTATTTATCTCATCATTAATATTTGTTGCATTAAAATATCTTGAATTGGTTTATATTATATAAATCTTTATATATTCTTTTTTTTTTTTTAGATCAGAGAACACGAATGGTGCTATAGTTCGAAGAGGCTAAAGTTTAACGCTATACTTACAACATATGAAATAGTACTTAAAGACAAAACATTTTTGGGTGCCTTAAACTGGGCAGTGCTATTAGTGGATGAAGCTCATCGATTGAAGAATGACGATTCCCTTTTATATAAAGCACTTGCTGAATTTCATACTAATCATCGTTTATTGATTACTGGTACCCCATTGCAAAACAGCTTGAAAGAGTTATGGGCCTTACTGCACTTCATCATGCCTATGAAGTTAGTTTCTATCATATTTGAATTTCTGTTTAAATTTTTTAATCTAATTTTTATAATTCTTTATATAGAATATTCCTAAAAATATAAATATCTCTTATTCTGACATTTATATTCATCATATCGTTTTATTATGTAGATTTAATTCGTGGGAAGAATTCGAGAAGGAACACGAGAATGCTGCCCAGAAAGGATATTCCAAGCTGCATAAACAATTGGAACCATTTATTTTGCGCCGAGTGAAGAAGGACGTTGAGAAATCTTTACCTGCCAAGGTTGAACAAATCCTACGAGTGGAAATGACGTCGGTGCAGAAACAATATTATAAATGGATATTAACCAAAAATTACAGCGCGTTGCGAAAAGGCACTAAGGGATCTACGATGACATTCTTAAACATTGTTATCGAATTGAAGAAGTGCTGCAATCATGCCTTTCTTACGAAACCTACCGAATACGAGAAGAAGGATAGTAATGAGGATTATTTGCAACAATTGATCCGTGGTTCCGGCAAATTAGTGCTTCTGGATAAATTATTGGTGAGACTGCGCGAAAAGGGACACAGAGTTCTGATATTCAGCCAAATGGTGAGAATGTTGGACATCATCGGTGAATATCTGCAAAAGAAGCATTTTCCATTCCAAAGATTAGATGGAAGTATAAAAGGCGAATTGAGGAAACAGGCACTGGATCACTTTAATGCAGAGGGTTCAACGGACTTCTGTTTCTTATTGTCAACGCGTGCCGGTGGTCTTGGTATTAATCTTGCCACCGCGGACACCGTGATAATCTTCGATTCTGATTGGAATCCGCAGAACGACTTACAAGCGCAAGCTAGAGCGCATCGAATAGGACAAAAGAATCAGGTACGCTTGCAATTGTCATACGATATTCAATTTATACAAATTATCTAAACGCCGTTTTTTTTAACAAACTTCACACTATATTTATTATAGGTCAATATCTATCGTCTGGTTACAAAGAATTCGGTCGAGGAAGAGATTGTGGAACGTGCGAAGCAAAAGATGGTCCTTGACCATTTAGTGATACAGAGAATGGATACAACCGGACGAACAGTATTAGATAAGAAAAACGCGGGGACCAATAGCAATCCATTTAATAAGGAGGATCTGAATGCCATTTTGAAATTCGGTGCGGAAGATCTATTTAAAGATGAAGAGGATGGAGATGAAGAGCCAACCGTAAGTCTATTGACATATCTTACATCCTTGGATAAATACTTTTGTATATGAAGTTATAATTAGATACAAATAAACTATCAGTATTCATGATGTATATATATATAAATATTTATAATTTCTATGTAATTAGTGTGATATCGATGAGATATTAAAAAGAGCTGAAACAAGAGACGAAGGACCAATGACAGTTGGCGATGAATTGTTGTCTGCTTTTAAAGTCGCTAGTTTCGCTGCATTTGAAGAGGAATCTGAACCAATAAATCAAGCAAACGATAACGATGACGAAAGTAAAGACTGGGTATGTGTATAACATAGATACGGCAATTAATCCAAAATTTCCTCTGTGAAATGTTAAAATTTACTTATTTAACATTATATATTACAATGTTAATTATGCGTTCTAGGCGGAAATCATTCCCGAAAACTTCCGCAAGAAAGTAGAAGAGGAAGAGAAATCAAAAGAGATGGAGGATCTTTACCTACCGCCAAGAAGCCGGAAGACTCTTCAGCAAATTAACGAAAGCGGTATGCACGTTTATTTTAGTCTAGTTTAAATATCATTTGTTAACAAAACGTTGCAATTTGTTTTTCGTGAAATGTAACAACACGTATATAAGCAAACGGATATTATTTTATGTAAAGGGAAGGGCAAAAAGCGCAAGAAGCAGGACGAAAGTGAAGATGGTGACGAATCAGGTAGCGACGTAGAAGGCAGCGACGATGAAAGACCCAAAAAGAGAGGCAGACCAAGAGTTACACCGCGTGAGAACATCAAAAGCTTTACCGATGTTGAGGTATGCAGTTTTAATTTTACACGAAACTATTTCTATACGCTTGTGTGCGAATTTGATGCTATAATAAAATTTTACTTTGCAGATACGAAGATTTGTCAAGAGTTATAAGAAGTTCCCGGCGCCTCTGAGACGATTAGATGATATCGCAGCCGATGCCGAGTTACAAGAAAAGCCAATGTCGGAATTACGTTTCCTAGGCGAACAACTAAAGTCTAGATGTGACACGTGTTTGGCAGAGTTCGAGAATACCGCAAAAGAAAATAAAGGTGGCGAAGAAGAAGGTAAAGGACCTGGTCGTAAGAGAGGACGTGGTCCTACCTTCAAGATGGGTGGTGTCATGGTGAATGCAAAGTCCTTCTCAGCAGCAGTTAAGGAACTCGAGCCTCTGGACCAAGCTCTGCCGAACGACCCTGACCAACGTGCTACTTGGTATATTGATTTCAAGTAAGTTTCTAATTTAGCTTGTTTAAGATACCGAGATATAAATTACGTGAATTTAAGTATTGAATACAAAATTAAGAAACTTTAATATTTATTCTCTATTTATTATTTTATAACTCTATTATTTTAGGCTGAAACAGGCGAATTTCGACTGCGAATGGACTTCTGAAGATGATTCCAGACTGTTGAGGGGCATATATCAGCATGGTATGGGTTCGTGGGATGCAATTAGCATGGACACCAATCTAAAACTCGGAGATAAAATTCTTCTTAATGGCAGTAAAGCACAATTGAAACGCGTCAATACGCGCGCAGAATACTTACTGAAAGTTTTGAAGAAGCAAATCGACTTCAAATTAGGAGTGGTAAGATCATTTTGTATTATTTCGTATTCAAATTTTTTTATTCAACAAGATTCAAAACCGAATATATGTAATACTTATTCTTACGTTTTACCTGTCTTTATGCTTTGACAATTGCAGTGTGTAAAAGCTACATTATGTGTTATTACGATATTATAGTACATATATAAATTTTATTTTTACTAATTTTATATTTCTAGATCGATTTTATAGTTTATGATTGGTTTATTTCAGACGCGAGCGAGGAAGCCGAGAAAGCCTAAAGAGATGAAAGTAATTACTAAAGAGATTGTAGAAGACAATGATTCCTCTGGTGATGAAAATAAAAAGCTGAAGCCCAAAGTTGATAAGGTACATTTTGAGTATAAGATAAATTAACGCGTGACATTTTATGAAATGTGGAATACACACTCATATTTTATATTTTACGATTACAGCCGACAGTCAAGAAAGAGGATGAAGTTGTTGTAAAGAAAGAGATCAAAGAAGAAGTTGATGATTTGCCTGAGGAAAAGAAAAAAGATAAAAAAATAAAAAAAGAAAAGAAAGAGAACAAAAAGACAAAAAAAAATAAACAACCAGCAGGTCCAATGCATTTCACGGCAAATAATGAACCAAGGGCTCTTGATGTACTTGGAGATTTGGATCCTTCAATATTCAATGAAGTAGGCATCATTTCTTTTATACATTTATGTTTCTTTCACATATGTAGTAAATCTATATAATATGTATATGATGCGTGAAATAAGAAATTGTTTGATAATATAACCTATTTTATTTTATTATAGTGTAAGGAAAAAATGAGGCCAGTAAAGAGGTCTTTGAAAGCTTTGGACAGACCAGATGAATCCTTGAGTCCACAGGAACAAGTGACTCATACGCGCCATTGTCTTTTACAAATCGGCAATCAGATTAATACGTGTCTTGCGGAATATAGAGATCCTGAACAGATCAAGGAATGGCGAAGTAATCTCTGGTACTTCGTTTCCAAATTCACAGAGTTTGATGCGAAGAAGCTTTATAAGCTGTACAAGCACGCGATGAAGAAGAATGTCGATAGCAATGGCGGTGTCTCTTCTAGTCCCGATAAAAAGGAGGACTCCAGTGTCACTAAGGTACGTTATCTTCGCTTATATAATAGATATCGAGTCGATAAGGATAATATCATTTATATAAAAGATATCGGCAGTTCATAAACGACCCTATTCTTTTTGGCAGAAACATAATGAGAAGCTTCATGACAAACATATCGAGAAACAGCAAGCGGATGGTAGTAGTAAAGACAGTAGAATAGGAAAACGTAAGCTCGATGAAATCGAGGAGAATTCGAATAGCAGTACTTTAAGTAAGAAACATCTTTCGGCTATTTCTGCTGTCAGCAATATCAGCAGCACGTCCGCAGTTACTATCGGTGCTATTACGATAACTCCTATAACGTCGACACCGAATTCCATATCGAGTACGACCAACAGTGCAGATACCTCGAGACATAAGGAGCAAAAAGAGTCGAAGCACAAAGATATGAAGAGGGACAGAGAACGAGACAGAGATAGGGACAGAGGACATAATGATAGAAATATAGATAGGATAAGGGGTGGTAAGGACGAAAGAATTGGAAGAGACAGTGGGGGATATAGCATTGGACATTATAGTGGTAGTAGGGAGGACGATCATTGGATGTCAAGAGACGGGGGGAGAGACATGAGAGATAACAGGTATGTAATGATAATAATATTGAAGACAAGTATATTTACACACTGTTCTCTGTTTAACTTTGTTAATTTTTGTAATATACAGATATCTTTAGATATCTAAGACTCTTGGTCTTTTGTCGCGGCCATTTTGATTTCTGATGTCAGAAGCGAGGAAATACATGCCCAAAATTCGTACGTCGAAGATAGTACGTCGAAGTAAAAAGATATACGCAAAAAATGATATTTACAATCGATTAAACATATTAAATATTCCAAACTTTCTTTTTGCTCTAACTAGTAAATAATTGTAAAATTAACGTGAAAGAATAATGAGGAATATAGGTTATATAGGAATATAGGTTAAAAAGGAAGATTGCATGTCACGTTAACTTTAGAGTTATTATTGATTTGTTGATTGATTAGAGCACAAGAATTCTTAATCAATTGCAAGTATTATTTTTTTGGATATATCTTTTTATTTCTATGTACTTTGCAGGAATTTTTGGCATGCATTTCCTCGCTTCTCACATCATCAATCAAGATTTTCGTGGCGAGTCATTAAGAACCTTAATATTGAATATGTAAATAAAGATCACTGCATGTTATTGTTGCTTAATCGTTGTCATTCTTTTTTTTCCAATAGATTCAACGATCACAAGCGCGATCGTTTTGACTCGTACGGGCGAATGTCCGGCGGTTATCACCGAGACAGAGATAGGGAACGAGATCGCAATATGCACATGAATGACAAGAGGAAGTACGTTTACAATAATGCACACACCAACGCTCCGCTTCACGAAAAACGACCCGTCTCACGAGAGGATTCCTTAAGTGATTATTACAGGTACGCGTCAGGACCACCGGGTTACGGATACGGTCCTGGTGGTTACGGTGGTGGTAGCGGTAGTTATCCTACCGCGGACATCACGTCAAGTCACTTCAGAGGACGGGGCTATCCGAGTGACAATTATACCGGCGATTGGCGGCCGAACAAAGATTACAGAAGGGAATACGACAGAAGGCCACCACCGCCAAACGCCAACTCCTAGTGCTCCTTCCTCGCCTCCGTTGTTCCGGACGAGTACTCCAAGGCAATTGTGATACCGTCAAACTCTTGTATATAGTCTTCTGTGTATGAATGCGAATCATGAGATGCACCGAGATGTGGTTTTTTGTGTGATTTGTCACAACGCTTGTATTTATATGTAAAAAAAAAACGGTATTCCAATTAATATTCTTAATATTTACGAATAACGTCGCGATGATAACGTGAATCACGGCAGACCACAGTAATCTCCGCGAAAAATTTCACGACAAATAATAAGTGAATTATGCGTAAGAAAACAGGCGGAATCGTGTTCTTAGCTCGCACCAAAGAATCAATCTAAAATTTATTACAGAAAGTTGTTAATCCGCTTAATTTGGAATTTAATCCCCTGTATATATTGGAAAATCGTGCGAAGCGTCGGAAAACAACTATTTTTATTGTTTTGTCAAACATTAAAGCTCCTGGCTAATCGCTATGATTGTCCTTGTTTAATGATATCAGAAGCGAGAAAACACATGCCAAGATTTCGTCCGTTATACTTTCAATTAAAAAGATATATCTATAAAGTGACATTTGTGATCGATTCAACACACTTTTAAAATTGTCCGAACACTTTTACTCAAACAATCAATAAATAATCGCAAAATTAACTTGACATGGAACCTTCCTTTTTAACCTCTTAAGATTATGTCAATGTTAATTTTGTGACTATTTATTGATTGTTCGAGCAAAAAGGAAAGTATTCGGACAATTTTACAAGTATGCTAAATCGATGACCAATGCTATTTTGTGGATATATCTTTTTAATTAAAAGTATAACGGACGAAATTTTGGCATGCGTTTAATGCCAAAATTAAACAAGGACAGTTACAGCGACTAGCCTTAAATTCAGATATCCAAATTAGATTTTATCAGTGTGCAATTTCGCTAACAATAATTTATCAAAAACGTTCGAGCTAAATTTTGTGCATATGCCTGTATATTTTATATTATAGTGTAGATCGATTTTTTTTGTTATATCCGTTACGTAACGAGTATATTCGTTAAGTGACAGCTTCCGAAATAATATATAATATATTTTGCATTTTCAGTACATAATTATATACATATGTATGTGTTTAGTTTAGATATATATCGCTAGTTTAGATATATAATCTACTCGAACTCTATCATAAATATCTTGACTTGATAATATGAAAGCCTGATAATGGTAAATTGTCTAATTTTATTGCTAACACAACCTAAAGTCCGACTGCATTGCAATAGACATAACAAATGGTCGTGTTTCATTATAGAACAATGCCTGTAAAATTGTACAAACTGTGTATTAATTAAAGTGTCATGATTTTTCTACAAAGATATTGAAATATTAATCGTGCGAAAGACCTATGGATGTACGCAAGGTGTCAATAATGTATAATAAGCATGTTTTTATACTTACTAATTTTTATTTCGTCATTTTATAAATATAAAGTTTCATAAAGAGGCTCGACCTCGTAAAGGAAAAAAAAAGTTATCAGTCGTTATCAAAGGAATAATAATTATATATACTTATATATAATTATATAAATTATATATAATTATATAAATTATAATTATTATATATAATTATATATACGCAAATATACACAAATCCTTGAAAAAATGTTTTTGATTAAAAAATATTAAACATTTTCTCCGAGGAAAAATGCTATTAGACAATTTATTTAAAACATCTATATTTATATTTACAATATATCACAAATATCAATATTGTGTTAACTATTTTTTAATTAAATATAAACTTTATAAAATTATTTAAGCATCTACTATGCTCTTAGATAAGCAATTACGAGTCGTATTGGCCCAATATCTGTTTACGGTATATATCCGAAACGAGGGCAAAAAACAGTTAGTGGCACCTTGTGTACGATATTCTCTATTTAGTGGAGGTTTCTTGGTCATTAACTGTCAAATCAACCTGTTGCGTTTATGTGTGTGTGTGTATGTGTGTGTTGCGCGAAGTACTAACAGCACTTCATACATTATTCGTCAATCACCAGATATTTCGTGTGCAAATCAAAAGAGAAATACAGTTTAAGATGTGAGTTGCTTGTAGTGCTTCTGACATGTGTGATTTAAAGTAAACATCAGTGAAGAATGCTTTTGCGTTTATTATCGTTTCGTGTATATGATAGTTTTGTATTTTACATCTCGAAATTAATGTAACATAGTGTAAATAGTAGCATAAGATTAATAGTTATACTCTGCATCGCGAACTGACGAATCACTGAGATAGCATTGCGTTTTCTTTACTTCGTGCGTAAAGAGTAAAGAAGTTTTCGCTACCACAGTTTTACCTCAGTCAAAAAGAAAGTGGAAAGTCGGATACAGTGACAAAACGAAAACTCGTATAGAGATTTTATGTAAATTGTCTAATCAAGTTTGTCTTTAAAGAAAGTAAAAAAAAAAAAGATAACTGGAAAGGGAATATTTAATATTCGAAATAATTTTAGAGAAATTTGGAGGAATTATAGGAATAATTATACTTATGCTTTAATTAAAAATGAGCAGCTGATAATCTTTTCTTTCATAAGATAAAGCCTCTTATAAAATTTTATGCCTGTATAACAATAAAAATAGAATGAAAGTCAAGCTCTTATAATAATTACAAGTTTTCCAAATTATAAATTAATCCAATAAACAACACAATATGATCTTCTCGCAATGATTGATATGTAAATGATCATGTGTGACGATAGAGATTGTTATTGTTAAATATTGTTGCAACGTTAATATATATAAGTTATTTTATATATTATTTTGCGCACATCTCGAACTGACTTACTCGGTCGCGAATATCCTGCAACTTCGCAATTCGTGCGCATTTATGTAACTGATGGCATGTATAAACTAATAAGAGAGAAAAAATATACTTGCGTGAATATACATAATCATATTAAAGAAAAAGTCATATTTGCGTATTTTGTGTCTTAAATAATTGTTCAAGAGCAGAAGGATAATTGAGCGATCATAGGAGATTCGCTAGATTTTTATTTACAAGTTAATATCTCACAACAGTATGTGAATAGCTATTTATAGTTTATTATTAGACGCAAAGTACCGAATATCGACAGTTGTCACTATGATGAAGTCCTACGCAATAGGAGTACATTGTAAATATTTAGTCGACAGTTAAATATCAAATATAAGTGAGATATAGCGAAATTAGTTTAATATCGTGCATATATTAGGAATATATGTAAAGTTATTATAATAACGTATTTTATCTATCTTTATTGTAGATTACTCAACGTTTCTGAAAATATATCTGCATTTTTCATGGCAGTTGTGTCGTGTTGTGTTATTAATAAATATAGGTAGAGTTATTGTCGAGCTCGTAAAGTATATCTCATTGCAATGTGAATTCTATACATATAAATAATGTTACACACATACACACACACACGCGCGCGCGCACACGCACACGCATACACACACACACCCACACACGTCACATGATATTAAGTTTGTTTATTTTCAGAGAACTTTTGAATTAGTGATATAATAAGTTAGAGTGAAAGAAAATATACTGATTTTCGGGGTTGGGAGTTACTTTTTAAAAGTAATGTGTTATCGTTATCGTTATTTGCAATAAAAAATAACTTGTTATTGTTACTCGTTACCGATTCTAAGAAGTAACGCGTTACCGTTACTTGAAAGTAACGATAAATAAATCGGTACCTTTCGTTACCTTTTTTTTAATGTTAAAACAGCTTATAAGACAGAATATAAATTAAATATAAGATATTTAGAAAGATATTTATCTTTTAATATTTTTATTAGTACTTTACATGTTTTATGTTTAATTACATGATATTTTATTATATAATATTTTATATTGTTTTTATTGTTATGATATAATGATAGTGAATGAAACAAATAGAAATAAGCAAAAATTTTCGTTTATATGTTTAATTATATCTTTAAAATTTTAATTAATTAAGTAGAGAATATTCCAATAATATTCAGAACATTCTTGAAACCATGTAAGAATATTCTTTCCGAATATTCTCAGAATATATTCTCTTCTCATTGATTTGACAATTTCGACGTCGATAGACGAATTATTTCTCGCTGGGAGGAACATTGAGTGTAAAGCCTAATCTACAATATGCTCTTTGCGTTCTTTGGCTGCATTCGCTTTGGGCGCTTATGCGCTGTAAGCGTCATTCTATCTTCTTCCAGCATGTAATGAGCGATAAAGATAGAATGACGCTTACAGCGCATAAGTGCTCAAAGACGCAGTCTTTAGGTTTGTTTTCGTTCCTGCACTGCTGAACTGGTGCAATAAGTTAGAGCGAGAAAAAATATACTTGTCTCACTCTAACTTATTGCACCAGTTCAGCAGTGCAGGAATAGAAAACAGACCGCTTGTCTTCTGTCTTTTTTTGGCTTAAAGCCTGATCTACAATATGCTCTTTGCGTTGTGTTTCTTATCTTCTATCTTTTTCTGGCTTAAAGCTTAAGGTTTGAGTCAGAAAGAGATAAAGAGAAAGAAGCAGGAAGCAAAGATTCGTATGTACTTGACCGAAAAAAATCGCCGGTTGGAAACCTACTCTTTTAAATCGTTTGTATTTCGTATGAAGAGTTTTGAAGTGCAATTGAAAAGATTTGTGAGTCATTTCATTAATTGTAATTAATTATTCATTTTTGGACCATGCATTTAGCCGAAATAATGGCCGGAGGTAAATTAAACAAAGTTCCGGTATGATATCGTTTGTATTTCCTCACATAACACAAGACTTAAAAGATATCCCAAAGATATCCAGAGGATTGCTAAATGTCCTCAGTCCTCAGAATATCCTAAAAATATTCCGAGGACTTCTAAATGTCCACACAAGTTTCCACCCAGCAAACACATGTTACATGTAACATATATGTTAGTTGTAATTTCCTACTCAACAATATAACTGTTATATAACACGTATGTTATATAACAGTTACATTGTTGAGTAGGAAAATATAACGAACATGTATATTACATGTAACGTTGTGTTTGCTGGGCAAGATATCCCTTCAAGATTTTATACTATGAGGGTCGTATGAAGAGTTATGAAGTATCATTAAAAAGTTTTGTGAGTCATCCAGGTAATTTTAATTAAATATTAAAAAATCATGTAACTGGCCGAAATATAGATTTCAAACGCTGCTATGGAAGTACCATCAGGCACGATAGGTAATTTTTAGTATTTCAATACTCCTGGTTCTTTTTTCGATCGTATCAACCTGGTAATGCTCGGTAAACATTTTTATCATTACATTGTAAACGTTACGCTAATATCTCGGCAACAGTAAATGTTCCGCCTACAGGACGATACAAGAGAATGTTTTATTTGTAACGTTATTTTAACGTACAAGTAACGTAGCAATCAATTTTGCATTATGACACATTCCTGTTATGGGTGTTTACGATAATTTAAGTTCGTGTTAGTACAAATTAGTTTCATTAGGGCCGAAAAATATAATAGGCACAAGAATCTACCCACACAGCACAGAAATTTCAAAAAGCTTTCAGAAAGATTTCAGGAAGATTTCAGAAAGGTTCAATGTTTCTGAAATCTTTCTGAAAGCTTTTTGAAACTTCTGTGCTGTGTGGGTAATATCTTCATGATTCATGACAACTCAATGCTGTCCGATAAATCGATTAGAATAGAATTAAGGCTGGTTTATGATGGCTGCGATCCGTTAACTTATGCTGGAACCGTAAAAAATTAGCCAATCATAATCGAATTCTAAAAGAATAATCGACTGTGATTGGTAAATTATTTACGGTTCCGGCATAAGTTAACGGATTACAGTCATCATAAACCGGTTTTTAGAGTAGCATAGCGGATAGTATATGTATAAGGGTGCAAATTAGGGATGGGTAAAAAGAATCGATGTTTAGGAAACATCGATGTTCGTTCATTGAGGATGGTATTACATGTAGAGAGTTATGCACCGATTGGCTGTAGGATAGAGAATTTCTAGAGACCCTAACATTTTCTTTAAATGTAATATTATCCTCAATGAGCGAACATCGATGTTTTCTAAACTTCGATTCTTTTTGCCCATCCCTAGTGTGAATCCATGCAGCGGAATAGTGGAGCGCGGAACGAGAGCGGAATCAATCAGGAGAGGAAGCAATCACGAGCGAAAACTGTAGAACGTTCGTAATTGGTCCCGCTCTCGTTTCGCGCTCCGTTATTCCGCTGCATGAATTTGCACCTTAAAAATTAACAGTATCAGGTAATATAGTTTCGTAAGATATGTAACAATAATATTACAAAACAATGAGTTATTACATTTTAGAAAAATTAGAAGCACTAAATTAAATTATGAAAAAATATTATGTGTTTGTGAAATATCTAAAAGTAAAAAGTAGATTACCGATCGTGCCTGATGGTACTTCTACAGCAGCGCTTGAAATCTATATTTCGGCCAATTACATGATTTTTTAATATTTAAGTAAAATTACCTGATTGACTCACAAAAATTTTTAATGATACTTCATAACTCTTCATACGATCCTTATAGTATAGGATCTTGAAGGGATATCTTGGGAACTTATGTGGACATTTAGAAGTTCTTGGAATATTTTTAGGATATTCTGAGAACTGAGGACATTTAGCAATCCTCTGGATGTCTTTGGGATATCTTTTAAATCTTGTGCTATGTGGGGAAATACAAATGATACCATACCGGAACTTTGTTTAATTTACTTCCGGCCATTATTTCGGCTAAATGTATGTGTAGTCCAAAAATGAATAATTAATAAAACAACTTACAAATCTTTTCAATTGCACTTCAAAACTCTTCATACGAAATGCAACGATTTAAAAGAATAGTTTTCCAATCGGCGATTTTTTTTCGGATAAAGAAGTAATAATATACTCGAATATTAAGTGGTAGTGATAATAATATCTGCTCAACAATTGTGTGATAATATCCACGAGTGGATAATAACGAAATAATGATGATCGAATAATCGGTAATAACAATACCTGGATAACTGCTCTAACAAAAACTCTAGGCTCCACAAAGGGCTGCGTTCAGATTCCCCACCCGGGTGTATTCTATTATTAGAAGTGCTATAGTATATGTGACATATACTATAGTGTTTCTAGTAATAGAGTGCACCCGGATGAGGAATCTGAATGCACCCAAGGCTAGGTAAATCGACTGTCGTAACGGCCGCTCAGGCCTGGTTGGCGCTTGGGAGGAGGGTGGGGGGCGCGCGGCCAGGCGCGCGTCATGCCATAACGCTATCACCGCCGAGGCGAGCGCATCGCGGGAGCTGCCGCGTTATTTTCTAAATTATTTCGCGTCGATTTTTAATACCGCATTTTGATTTTGCCACAATTAAGGCAATAATTAACACGATTTAAGACGTACTTATCACATGAGCAGGTGTTGTGGGCTTTACCGCAGCGGGCAATTACCGCGTTTCATTTACCTTTTTACTTGTTAGATAGAGAAACGTCGCGATCGAGTTCCTCAATGACCAAATATTATCATCACCCACTTATTATTTGAGTATTATTATTCTTTTATACGGTTATCATTTAACTATTGGGAGTACAAATAAGTCTCCGCCGTTTTTTATAAGAAATTGGGCATTTATTGTGAAAGAACGGTACCTTATGTTTTATTCAAAGTATTGTCCATCGCTAGCCATTACTTTTTTCCACCTTTCTGGCAGCATACGGATACCACGTCGGAAGAACGCTTCATCTTTTGAGGCTATTCACGAATCGACCCAATTTTTGGTATCTTCATATAATGTGAAGTGTTGCTCAGACAAGCCGTGCGTCATCGATCGAAACAATTGATAGTCAGAGGGAGCAATGTCTGGTGAATACAGCGGGTGGGGTAAAACTTTCCAATTGAGTGTTTCCAAGTAGGTTTTGATCGGCGCCGCAACATATGGACGAGCATTATCATGCAGGAGAATAATTTTGTCGTGTCTGGAGTAGTAGTAGGCGCGTTTTTCCTTGAGTGCTCGGCTCAATCTCATCAATTGTGTTCGGTAGGGAACCCCAGTAATGGTTTCGTTCGGTTTGAGCAACTCATAATACACGACACCAAGCTGATCCCACCAAATACACAACATGAGTTTTTTTCCATGAATATTCGGCTTGGCTGTCGATGTTGAAGCATGGCCACGTGGTTCCCATGATTTCCTCTTCTTTGGGTTATCGTAGTGGATCCATTTTTCATCACCAGTGACTATACGATGCAAAAAACCCTTTCGTTTATGCCTGGCAAGCAGCATTTCACATGTGTAAAATCGACGTTCAACGTTTCTCGGTTTCAATTCATATGGAACCCAATTTCCTTGCTTTTGAATCATTCCCAACGATTTTAAACGATGTGAAATTGCTTGTTAAGTCACTTCTAATGTAAGTGCAAGTTCTTCTTGAGTTTGGCACGAATCTTCCTCCAATAATGTTTCCAATTCCGCGTTTTCGTACACTTTCGGCCTTCCGCTACGTTCTTTGTCTTCGACGTCAAACTCACCGTTCTTAAACTTTTGAAACCACTCACAACTTCTCTCACTTAAAGCAGCCTCACCATATGCTTCTACAAGCAATCGATGCGCCTCAGCTGCAGATTTCTTCAAATTAAAGAAGTAAATCAAAAGTTCCCGCAAATGACGCTTATTCGGCTCAAAACTCGACATTTTCGCACGAAAAAAATTATGTGATGCTGATACAAAATCGCTAATATTTCAAGATTATGGTGTTGCCAGATGTCCAACCTTACGATATGACGTTTTACATCTGACAATTTCAACCATAACTTACTAGTGGGGCCATCTTTTGTCAAATGGCGGAGACTTATTTGTACTCCCAATATTTTTATTACGTATTGCGAAGCAACTCGAGCGTGCCGTTACGACGATTTCCTTATCTCGTCTTGCTGTTGTGCATAATTAATTGATACTACCGGACATTATTATATGGTTATCGATCAGACATTATTATCATCGCCTATTAATTAATCGGGAATTATTACTTCTTTATTTGGTTATCATTTAATTATTTTTTATTGCGCATTGGGAAGGAACTCGAACGTGCCGTTACGACAATTTCTTTTCGACATCTTGCTGTCGTGTATAACTATTTGATATTAATTTATTAAATTATTAATTAATACTAAATTAAATTAAATTTCTGTCATAAAGATCTAATAGAGAAAATGCAATCACGCAGCTCTAGAGGATGCGATGCCTATGGGTTCTAGGGAATGCCGCGCCGGAGGATTCGGCTCGGGCCTGACAGAGTTGGCGCGAAGGTGAGTTTCACTGATTTAAATTCGTAATTAGAAATCCAATAAAACTGGAAATTCTTTTATTTGAAATCATATTCCTTAATGCCACCATTGTCGTGTGTAATACTAAATTAAATGTGTTTTCTGTTGCAGAGACGAAGCAGACGACCAGCCAACTCTTATGGCTCCTGCACACAGGACACGGTAATGCTTGCCGCGTGGCGGAAGATCGCGCGACAGCCAATCAATATGCTACTTTCCGTAATAACCTTCTAGCTCTTACGGAAAAACAACATATTGATTGGCTGTCGCGCGGACTTCCGCCGCGCGGCACAAACATTACCGCGTCCTGTGTGTAGATGCCATTAGGGGCTACTGCGCCGGAGGATCCGGCTCGGGCCAAGCGGGGTTAGCTCGAAGGTTAGTTTTCCTAACCAGTTAACCAATTTTTTCGACGCGAGATTCGTACGCTACCCGAAAGATGGGAGAAAGTAGTGACAAGTGATGGACAATACTTTAAATTATAAATGTATAACTAGTTTTTTACAATAAAGCCTCGAATTTCGGAAAAAAAACGGCGGAAACAAAGTTGTACATCTAATAGAAAATAAAAAAAAATTTTTAACTGAATATTTACTTCATATGAAAACAATGGAGAGTTAATGTCTATTAGAAAAAGTATATTAGTAACAGTTTATACAATTATACTTATTTACTACTAAATAGCTTAATAGCTGGCTTTGAAACTTTCAGACTTTCTATTTAAAATCTTTTAGATTATATTTGTATTATAAGTGTCGTTTACTTGATTTCGTTAATATAACCTTTATTAATATGTATTAGTAAAAGTTAGTATAATTATATTATAATTATACTAACTTTTACTAATAGACATTAACTTTCCATTGTTCTCATATTAGATCAGTTGAAAAATATTTTATTTTCTAATTATTAAAAAATGGCTTAAAAACAGCTAACTTTGATATTCTTAGACTTTCCATTTTCATTTCCAGTTTTTTATTAACAAAGACTTTCTATTTAAGACTTTCTATAATTCAAAGTTAGTATAATTATACTAAATTTTACTAATCAGATTATATAAATCACGTTTATATAATTAAGAAATAAAATTTTAACTGTATGTTCGCCTCATATGATATATTTAATCATTTTTTTATGATTAGCGTTATTTTGCATCGCAAATGCATTTTGTCGAATGCACGAATAATTTCGTAAGGATGTGTACAAGAAGAATCACATTTGTTTTGCATGCTGTTCGTTTATTATAATTGTCGAAATAATTGTCTTGGTATATATATACGTGCCAGCATGTAATATATTTTATATAATATATTCAACATAAACGCAAAGAGACATATCTTTCGATTAACGATGATAAGAATCATCGCAATTGGATATACACAGTAAAGCAGCGACATATTGCGATGCTAATAGTGGAAGTCATTTAGCCTGGAAAGCGGTTGTCTCAACTGACTCGGTATCACATTCTGAAAAACGTAAGATAAAATATTGTTGAAAAATATTTAATAGAATATTTAATACAAAAAATTTTATTTGTAACTTACGTAGAGGATGTTAATCATCTTCCTTTCCTTAAACAATTTTGTGGAAACCCTGCAAAGAAGCAGAATGTCTGTAAATATGTCAGCTTATTTCCAGCAAACGCAATAATATAACTGTTACATGGTTGTATTGTAACGATATGTAACATATGCACGTGTTATATAACATATGCACGTTATATATAATGTATACGTTAATTGTAATTTTCCATTCAAGCAAAATTGTAATTATATAACAGAAATATAATCTTCCCCCCACCCATAAATAATAGGGTTATTAATAGGTTATACGTCAATATATAACTGTATTATAATTAAAATGTTAATTATATAATTAGAATATTAATTAGCTATAAATATAATAACGTATTTTTTCATCAAGTACTTTTTGAATAATGAAACTTGAAAGTTACAATATCGCCGGCATTAACATTAACCAAAGTGTATTATGCGTAAGTTGCTCGATCGGATTAGCCCCCTCAAAATCCTACAACTTTTATATTAAACATTTTCTTGTAGAACGTATATTTTTAAAGATATTGAGATAGGAAGTTTTAAAATAAACACCCTATGTATATTATAAGATGCCTCAGAACAACTTTTAAAGCTGTTATGAAGACATAGTACGGATTGAGGTGAACATGAAAGTCTTATACCGTTTTGTGATATTCAATGAATATGGAGATATTAATAAAAGAAATTAATTAAAGAAGATTATCTTTCTCATAATGTTTAACTCTTATAGTATCGAACAATATATCGTTGTTAGCAACACTTGCGAAAAGTCGTTCGGCACTAAAAGGATTAAGAATTAATTAAAAGATATTAACTAGAAAGAAGATTTGTGAATGATCATGCGAGATATGATAGATAAGCTGTAGTGGCGACGTCTGCCATCGTGTGCTTGTACATTAGATTAAACTGAACAAAAAAGTGCCATTTTTCTATAATAATTTTGTACATTTTTAATTATTAATTAAAGAAAATTGGCGAATTATTGTTTGCGATAATACATTAATGTTATCTAATTAATAACTAAAAAGTCTACGAAGTTATTAGGGGAAAAAGGTAGACGATTTGTTTGTTAATTTGATCTAATGTACAAACACACGACGTGGTAGATGTTGCTACTCATTTACTATGGCTGCGTTCGCTTTGGGCGCTTATGCGCTGTGAGTGTCATTCTATCTTCTTTCCGCATGTAATGAGCGATAAAGATAGAATGACGCTTACATCGCGTAAGCGCCCAAAGCAAACGCACCCTATATCTCGCGCGATCATTCACAAATGTTTTTTAATTAATATTTCGATGATTATTGAGAATATCTCGAAATAGAAATTTTATGTTTATTTTAATCCGTACTATGTCTCCACGAAGCTTCGAAGATTATTCTGAGCATCCTCTATATATCTGAAATACGCAAAATACTATATAAAATTAATCAAACATACCTTTATTGCTAGTTTAATTGGACTAGTCCCGATCGAATATATTTTTTTCTGTAACAGACAAGTGAATAGTTAATATAATTTCTTTACTAGGAACTTAAGTATAATAAAATATTTTACGACTTAAGGCTCCTGATCAGTTATTGCGACCATGTTGGATTGATAACGTTAGAAGCGAGAAAATTCTATGCCAAAACTTCTTGAGCACTACAGCTAAATGAAAAGATATATCATTAAAATGATATATTGTAATTTATTTTACACACTTGTAAAACTTCAGATATTTCTCTTTTACCGAAATAACTTATTACATAATTGCAACAAATAAGTGTGACAAATCGCCTCGTTTTGACAGAACATAAGCGGTGCGTCTCAGTGTCGAATAAGATTGAATAACTACTTATACGCATTATCACAATATGTACAATATCCGGAACATTTCCACACTTTCATAATTGTATCATATGTGATATGCATGCATAACACTCAATAACGCGGTAGTTCGTAGGAAAACATTGGTCGTCTATTGACATCATTAGGTTTGTTTCCGATAAATTTTGCACTAATGCAATAAGTTAGAAAGAGACAAATATACTATCTTCCACTCTAACTTATTGCAATAGTTTGCACTTTGTGAATCTAATAGATCATCATTTTGTCGTTCACAATTATGTTCACGCGAAGTTCTTGGCTGACTGATTAGGAGAATTAACCAAAACATGCTCAATAGTGTTCATTTAATGATGCTGTAAAAAATGTTATATATTTTACATTAAAAGATACGTCATTTACAGTTTAAACTAAATTTTTGGTGTACAGTTTTTACTTCTGTGAATTTTACTCTAGAGTTTCTTTCGCTAAATTTTTTACCATAGGTGTAGGCCTATTCTGTGTATTAACATAAGGTGGTAAAAATGACAAAAGTGCACAAAATTCACTAGATATTGTCCAATAACTAAAATTATGACCACCATAATGATATGACTAATGAAGTTATAATTTCTCTAATAAAATCGTTTACTTTTGTAATTTTTTTCAAGTTGCGCTAATACACAATTGATTCCCAGTACAGAGGTGTTATGGACATGTTCGAATTGGATTCCGATCGGAATAATTTCGTTATTCAGGCCGGAATCCATTTAGAACAAATCCACAATGGCACACCTAAATTCAAAATTCCATTTAGCACCGGAGACAGCATTGGATTCAGAACAGGATCCAGAACCGTGTTCAGAACTGGATTCAACATAGGATTCGGTATTTGATTAAAAAACCGTGTCCATAACTGGATTCAGAATCGGAATCAGAGCTAAATTCAGAACTAGATTTAGAATTAGATTCAGAACAAGATCGAAACTGTTTTTTTTCGTTTACGTCGTTGAAATCCGATATATTTATGCGATTGTTGGAGTCCTCTTTTTCGTGTATCTCGGGATTTGATTTTTCTTCGTTATCATAGCAATTTTCATTGTTGGAGTTTTCTTTGATTTGTTTTTCCTACGTTACTACAGCTAGGATGTTTTTCGGGATCTCCATCATTAGGATATGATTTACTTTTATTTCCATTGCTGGAATCTTTATCTTTGCAATCATTTTTAGGCTGAACGGAAAGGAAGCGCTCCAGCAAACACTAAGTAACAGTTATATAACTGTTGGTAGTGTTGGCTGGTGCATTTGAATAATTGTATATCCAATTAAGAAACATCCACATTAGATAAGTGCAAGTCGAAATAGTGATAGAGCTATAATTTTATCCGACGAAAGAACTGCCGTTTTCTGCGTTAAAGTCGTTAACATTTTTTCAATGTATAGTGTCTTAATTTATTATGGTAGTATAATAATATGCGGCGTATATGTACTGTAAATACTTGGGGGATTAAATGTTTATTATTATTTCATAACACTTATCAGTAATTTCTTAATGTTCTCTATTTCATCCTTAATTTTACTTATTATTTCCTTAGGTATACGCTTAAGATGATAGTTATTATTTTCATTCTGTTAATAAAATAATGCAAGAATTATTCGTAGTAAAATGAAAAATTTCAAAACTATTATGATGGCATATATTATAAACTCGCTTGGAATCGATTGTAATTGAAATATTTTATTTATCTCCTACATTTCTGTCGTGATTTTTAGAAGAAACGGAATTGTTTTAACTGAAATCGATGTCTAGCGGATTTATAATACGTATCTTGAGGATTGAAATAGAATCAAGATGTGCATTATGTATTAACACAAAATAGTGAAAATGGCAAAAGTGCGTAAGTTTACTAAGCGTTGACCAGTAATTGAAATTATAACCATTATTAAGATACGACCAAAGAAATTATAACTTTTCTAGAAAAATCTTTTGCTTTTATAATTTTTATCAAATTGTGTTAATACACAATCGACTTTTAGTATTGAATTGCTATTATGGACATGTTTGGATTGGATTCCAATGGGAATAATTCCGTTTCTCCTAGAAATCTAAAAAATAACTAAATTATTTTGACTGAAGTCCATTTCGAACAAGTCTATAATGGCACTCCTGGATTCACAACTAAATTTAGAACTGGATTGAGTACTGTATTTAAAACTAAATCCAGAAACATATTCCATAATGCAAAACTGAATTCAGAATTAGATTTAGAATTGGATATAGAACTGGATTCAAAATTTGATTTAGAATTGGATTCAGAAACTGGACTGAAATTGTTTTTTCTCTTACGTCATTGAAATCTAATAATTTACGCGAATATTGGAATTCTCTTTCTCATGTATCTCGGGATTTTTTTGGTTATCATAGCAATTTTTATTGTTGGAGTTTTCTTCGATTTGTTTTTTCTATGTTACTATAACTAGGATGTTTTTCGGGATCTCCATCATTAGGATATGATTTACTTTTGTTTCCATTGGTGGAATCTTCGTAATAATTTTTAGGCTGAACGTAAAGAAAGCGCTCCAGCAAACACCAAGTAACAGTTATATAACTGTTACGTTGGCTGGTGCATTTGAATAATTGTATATCCAATTAAAAAACATCCACATTAGATAAGTGCAAATCGAAATAGTGATAAAGCTATTATTTTGTCCAACGAAAGAACTGTCGTTTTCTGCGTTAAAGTCGTTAACATTTTCTCAGTGTTAACGACTTTATAGTGTTTATAGTGTCTTAATTTATTATGGTAGTATAATAATATGCGGCGTATACGTACTGTAAATACTAGGTGGATTAAATATTTATTATTATTTTATCACACTTACCGCAAATTTCCAACCCGTCTTTAATGCATTCAGGCATGCTTCAATACTAATACCAATTTCGTCAAGCATACTGTTAGAATCACTGTTATTCTGTTAATAAAATAATGCAAGAATTATTCGTAGTAAAATGAAAAATTTCAAAACTATTATGATGGTATGTATTATAAACTCGCTCGGAATCGATTACAATCGAAATCTTTTATTTATCTTCTATACTTTTCTATCGTGGTTTTTAGAAGAAACGGAATTGTTTTAACTGAAATCGATGCCTAGCGGATCTATAATACGTATCTTGAGGACTGAAATAGAATTAGGATGTGCATTATATATTAACACAAAGTGGTGAAAATGGCAGATATACGCAAATTCACTAGATGTTGACCAATAATAGAAACTATAACCATCATTAAAATATGATAAATGAAATTATAATTCTTCTAGAAAAATGTTTCACTTTTATAGTTTTTAACAAGTTGCGTTAATACACAATCGATTTTCAGTACTAGCTGCTTATGGACATGTTTGGATAGGATTTCGATGGGAATAATTCTGTTTTGCCTAGAAAACATAGGAAATCTAAGAAATAACTAAATTATTCTCACTGAAATTTATTTGAAACAAGTCCATAATAGCACACGGGGATTCACAATTAAATTTAGAACTGGATTCAGTACTGAATTCACAAAACTGGGTCCAGAAACATGTTCCATAATACAGAACTGAATTCAGAATCGGATTTAGAATTGGATACAGAACTGGATTCAGAACGTGATTTAGAATTGGATTTAGAACTCGACTGAAATTGTTTCTTCTTTTTTACGTCATTGGAATTTAATAATTTACGCGATTGTTGAAATTTTCTTTCTCGTGCATCTGGGAATTTAATTTTTCTTTGTTATCAGAAAAATTCTCATTGTTCGAATTTTCTTCGGAATTTGTTTATTCTACGTTATCACGACTAGGAGATTCTCCAAGATCTTCCTCTTTAGTATATGATTTATTTTTGTTCCCATTGCTGGATTTATTTCTTTACCTTTGTAATTATTTTGAGACCGAAATGCCATAACAAATACTAAGTAAATTTATATAACTATTACTTGATGTTTGCTAGGATATTTAAATAACTATATATTCAATTAAGAAATGTTGGCATTTGCTAAGCACAAATCGGAATAGTGATAGAAATATGATTTTATCCGGCTGTTGTCTTCTGCGTTAATGTCATTAATATTTTTTTAATGTTGTAGTCTCTTTATTTATTGTGGTCGTATAGTAAGCGGCGTATTGTAAATGGAAGTGTAGGGAGGATAATTATATGTTTATTATTACCTTATCACTTATCATCGCTGTATTAGTAGTAGTATCCTCGACATCTCGCTGATACTATGATGAAAGAATTATTCGTAGTAAAATGAAAAGTATTAAAATAATTATGTGTATGATTTGTCACTCTTCGGTGTGTACATACCTTTTCTCGCTTATATATTTCAAAATCCCATAAATTTAATCTGTTATCACGTTGAGGACGAAACATCTATGATAAAAATAAATGTGAAAAACTTTTGTAGATACTATGAAAAATTCAATATACAAATTGGAACACTTTCTTATATAATTTAAGGGAAAAAAACTGAAGAAATTTTTTACATGAATTAAAACTTTATTTACATATATTTATATGAATTAAAATTTCGATTTTAATAAAAATATTAAATATTCTGTTAAAAATTTAACGTTAACATGAAATATTCGTATTAATTTGTAAACAGAAGAAATTATAGAGAAGATTTAATGTTAACAGAAAAATAAAATTTTTACGAAACTGCAATATTTTTTTTTATAATTCTACAGAAAGATTTACATTATTATGAAAATTGATTATTTCATGTACGTGAAAAATTAGGAAACAGTAAGTAATATTTGAATAAAAGTCCAAAGTTTTTTGCGAAATTTCGATTAAAACCAAACGGAGAGTTTGATAATTTCATAAGAGATACAACGAATTTTTCTGAAAAAGTTGAAAACAGTTACAATTAATTGAAAAATTCAATTTTTCAGAGGAGTCACACATTTTCAGTTAGAATATTTGCACTAAGGATACTGCATTATTAATGCGATGGAAGAATTATACACAGTAAAGTAAAAAATATTAAAACCATTAAGATGTATCAGTGTTCTCAGCGTATACATACTTCATTCCAGGCTACTTTTCCAAAAACACTCCCACTAAAGATCAGCAATAAAAACACAACACGTATCTCCATTGTTATATATCAAAACAGACAAATATTCTGTACGATACAATTCGTCTTTACTTGACGATCTCCTTCTTTGTTACGAATAAACTGAATGCACCGATAAAATAATTCCAAACAAATATTCTGGCAAACTACTGGCCGTTTGTTCGAGACTGTAAATTCTTTATAAGGAGACCACTGTATCTTCTCATGTTTTGAAAATTGTGCCTTATAAGGAGACCACTATCTTATCATGTCCTGAAAAGTATTTATAAGGAGACCACTATCTTATCATGTCCTGTAAGTTATTGTTTTTAAATGCTTAATTGAAGTCAATTGAAGTCAATTTTCCATATATACAATTTTGCACATTCGTATGCATATTGCGCAGTATGTAATAACGAACGTTTCGAATATTCAAAATAAAATAATTTTCCACAACACACAATATTTTTTTTAATTTTTGCAAATTGGGTGGTCGATTGTGTATTCATGTATATTGTGAGTATCTTTTGTCGGAATTTTGATTAAATTAATAGATAATTAATCGACAGAATTGTCTACAGTAATTTCTAGTTATGTAATTCGTCGTTTATCAATAAAGAAGTGAATAATCTTGTGTGTATTAATAAAATAAAAGTTAATATTTGGTTAATAATAATTTTAAATAAGAACTTGTAATGAGAGAACACATACATAAAGAATTTTTTTACTCAACTTTAATAACAAACTATTTTATTTCTCATGTTAACTTTGTCGTCTGAGTGAATTGTCAATAATTTTAATTTGTTTTAAATGAAAATCACCTTCTAGATGCATTATTGAAGCCCGATAAGCCGTGCTCCTATTTGATTTAACGTTTTCACATGCTGAAATAATAAAATCTTTTTTTAAAGTACCATAATAAACTGTTTTTTAAATTGATTCTTGCCGTTCTTAGATATAAAATCACCATATTTCTCTTTTCTTAAAAATATTAGGAAAGCTATGATTTTATATTAACTTACCGTCATAAACCGGAATAAGTAACAATCGTTATTGAAAAAATGTAATATAACGGTAACGTGGTTTTATAAATTATTTTCTAACTTTTTAATTTGAAGTAATATTCGTACCACTCTGACGATGATATGATTTATCTTATGATACACTCTCTTACGTCCACCACTGTAGTTAAGAAGTTGTCTAAATTCTCATAAGCGTTGACAATCGCTCTGCCGACTCCGACGAACTTATCGCCCATATTGCTGAATTTGTCTTTATCCTTGATTTCATCGACGATCGACGTGGGGTTTAAAAAACTAGCAGCAATAGTTGGGCGTCCGCCTCTTCGAAATTGCTTGTGCCGTATTTTATATTATTATTATTATTTTCTAAACGAACTATTTCTCATTGCACTGGTGGGAACAAAACAGTGGACGTAATGGTTTGAACCGATGTCAAAGATCTGCGGTTTAGATTAAGTTTGTCAGACATTGTAACTATCGCGGCGAGGTTGCTCGAAGCTTCATTGGATATAGTTACTGTGTAAAAAAAGATGTGTACATTTGTTAGTACGTAGCACTCTTTTCATTATGTATTATACAACAAGTACAACGGTAAAAGAATTTTGTGTTCACCTAATCAACATATATACGAGATATGTAACCCTTATCGTCAGACACCCTATATAACATTATTTTATATAAAGCGGATAACTGATTGAAATCAAATTGATCAAGACCATCAAAAAGTTTCCATGTTCCAAATTAATCGAGTAGATTTACTTTAAATAAACAACTCAGTAAACGTAAAGTATGTAATTATGTGTTCCACGATTAAGAACGATTTTGCCATTTTTGAGAGCTCGTAAATTTTGATGAAGATTACTAAATTTTAACAATGACATTGCACTCACGCTTAGAATATTATCGGTTGCTCCATTTTCAGTAATTGCCGCTGTTTTTCTGATATTACATGCAATTTCGATAATAATTGCGTAATATTTTAAGGAATTCGCATCGCAATTTCGTGAAAATAAGGAATGCATCCACCTCGTCAATATACTCGACGTGTTATTTTGAGCACGGTGCTCACGAAGAACAGAATTAAGAACAGTTGCGCGTGCATTTAGAACTAATTGAATTCCCGAAGTAATTTCGATGCTCTCGCCAAATAAAGATATTGGTGTATACCAGATGCTGTCGAAAATCTGCTTTTGCACAGAAAAAAATAATTTGCTGCAGCAGCAAACTAATTTGTTACGTATGGACAGTTAAATATAATTCGCTATTTTTTTTGCTACAGGAATTTATTTTCTTGCTATGATAACAAGAAAATCTTCTCCTACAGTAAGAAAAGTGGCTAACGTAGCAAATTTGCTACAGATAGACAACTAAACATAATTTACTGCCTTATATACTTTTTTGTTGCAGCAGCAGATTTTCTTGTTATCATAGCAAGGAAATTGGCTCTTTTAACAAAGAAAAAATGGCTAATACAGCAAAATTATGTTTAGTTGTCCATATGTAGCAGATTTTTTTTTTTCGTGTGTTAATTCGTCGTTCGAGTTGCGTAGATAACGAGAACTACGATGACGAAAATGATGCAAGGTTACAATGTATTTCTTTTACGGCGCCGAGCAATATTTATCTATTTCCTTTATCGTATTTGTTGGCGGGCCGTTAATAAACTTGTCAACAAAATTATTGCATAGATAATTTTATGTCGAAAGAGTGAAGTCTGTACTTTAAGGAGCATTCCTCGATTTTAAATTTAGTCTTTCTCCTCCATGTAGTCTTTTCAAAAGTAAAGACGTGTTGCGTCTTTAAAAAAATTACACAATTTGACGGGGTGAACTAAATTTTTTTCCTAAATTTCATGATAACCATGGTAAAGTGGTAGACTTTCCTCTGCTTAAAAAAAGGCGGATTTGTATGATTTTTTTCGCGGACTTGCGACATATCAAAATTACCTATGTATTTTAATTTTAAATGAGCACGATATCTCGAAACATTATCATATTTGAAATCTTTTTTTAATTTTATTTTACGATGGATATCGTAAGATTTATGAAAAGAATTCATTTCACTCAGTAAAGTGCGTCAAATTAAACTATTTAAAAAAATGCATAGGTAACTTTGATATGTCGCAACTCCGCAAAAAAAAAAATCGTACAAATCCGCCTTTATCTTAATTGCAAGGGAAAGTCTATACTTTACGATGGTTATCATGAAATTTACGAAAAAAATTTAGTCCTGGTAAGATACGTCAAATTGTGAAATTTTTTGGAAACGCAACTCGTTTCAAACGCAACAACGTTTTTACTTTTGAAAAGACTGCGGCAAGAGAAGAGAGTAAATTCAAAATCGGACGAATGCTCCTTAAAGTACAGACTTTACTCTTTAAAATAAAGAAAAAAGATTTCAAATGCTATAATGTTTTGCGGTATTATCCTCATTTAAAATTGTGCAAAATTTGACATGAATTTACCTGAAATAATTTTGTTGACGACTCTATTTTTATACCCATGCGTGATAGCCCGTATATCGTCTAAATGTCTTTGTGCGCCGTAAATAAACGTGCGGTTTCGCTGTCGACCTCGGTGTACGCTCGAATTGTTGTGTCGGCGATGAGTCAATGTTAATATGCGTCACTATGTGCGATATATAACAATTTAGAGGCGTTATTAGAACTAATGATTATGCACTCACTTAAAACAAGCACTCCGATCGTGAGAGGCAAGGGGACTTTTTGCGTGATAAATTTGGATTAAAATATCTCATGCACTAGAACCGTAATAAAAAAATAGCGGCACTTTTCTCATGTAATGCGAATGCAAGCTTTCGATTGCGACTAGTCCGATTAAAATCGGTACAGTTAATCTTGAGATTTTGTAATTTCATATGCGAAAAGGTTAATTCTTCTCGATTTAGATGTCAAATTCACAAGTACACACGCAAAGTGAGTTTGTCCATCAAGTCGCTTTCGTAACGTAAATGTACGAATATATTTGGATGTGTGGGAATTTAATTGAACGTAGGCACGCATATATTATCGTGCACGTCCTTCACGTTTTATAGTTCTGCTGCTGTTCTTATGTATGCAATGTAGATGTATAAAATAAATGAAAGTAAATATATATATTTGTACACATTTTTAAAGGACTTTTTGTCGTTCGTTGTTATCATTAGTGGCGTTCAGTTGAGGTCTTTTTATTTACAGTTGAGTTAAACATCCTTAGAGGTATTTGAGGTACATTTTGAACGATTAATGATATTAATATAACTCTCCATCGTTTTAGTTCGGTTAACGAACGTTAGTACTTTTGTTTGAGCGAAGCGTCGCGTTTGTTATTAATTAAGTTTCTAAATAAAAATTTAAGTGTTATTGCATTAATACAGCTTCATAATAACAAATGAATATATAAAAACATTGATTTATTATCGGTCTATTAGACTAAAGTTTAAATATGCCAAAAATACGAATTACATTAACTTCACGTATATACTCTCGCTATGAGCGCGCACCAACACTTCTAGAATCTATTAACAAAAGTTATATTGACGAAATCAAATAAACGACAATACACATAAAATCTAGAAGATTGTAAATAGAAAGTCTGAAAATTTCGAGAACTCGAAATTTTCGAGCTACTTTTTAAGCCATTTCTAAATAATTATTAGGTGTACAAATTTGCTTCCGCCGTTTTCCTATAGATGGCTTTAGCGGTAAGTGGTGGTCGAAATAAATAGATCATAGACGTCATACGATAAACTTGGGCATCTGTCAATATAACCCCATAGAAACATTAGTCGATTTGTGCCTGCATCATGAAGTTATTCTCGATTGAAAATGTCAGTTTACGAGCCAAATTCTCGTCATTTGCGGGAAGTTTTAATTTTCTGCTTCAATATGAAGAAATCTGCGGCTGAGGCTCATCGAATGCTCTCAAATACTTATGGTGAGGCCGCTATTAGTGAAAGAATGTGTGGTTTCAACGCTTCAAGAACGACGATTTTGACGTCGAAGACCGGCATAGCGGTGGAAGAGAGAAGGTTTTCGAATATGCAGAATTGGAGGCATTACTTTATCAAGACTCGTGTTAAAATCAAGAAGAATTGGCACGATCATTGGAAGTGATTCAACAAGCCATTTCAAAACGCCTCAAAGCCATGGGAATGATTCAGAAGCAAGGAAATTGGGTGCCGTACGAATTGAATCCGAGAGATGTTGAACGGCGTTTGTTTGCTTGTGAACAGCTGCTTGAAAGGCAAAGACGGAAGGGATTTCTGTATCGCATTGTGACTGAGGGCGAAAAATGGGTTCATTACGATAACCCCAAGCGCAGAAAATCATGGGGAGTTCCCGGCCATGCTTCCACGTCGTCGGCCAAACCGAATATTCACGCTCCAAGGTCATGTATTATCCAAGGCTCTGTATTTGGTGGCACCAGCTCGGCGTAGTATATTATGAGCTGTTAAAACAACTGAAACAATCACAAGCGATCGATATCAAACGCAATTGATGCGTTTGAGCCGCGCATTGAAAGACAAACGGCCGCAATACAACGAGAGACTCGATAAAGTAATTTTGCAACATGACAATGCTCAACCTCATATTGCGAAAGTGGCCAAGACATACTTGGAAACGTTGAGATGGGAAGTCCTACCCTACCCGCCGTATTCTTCAGACATTGCTCCCTCTGACTATCACTTGTTTCGATCAATGGCACACAGCCTGGTTGACCAGCACTTCCGGTCTTATGAAGAAGTAAAAAATTGGATCGATTTAAAAGATGACCAGTTTTTTCGACGCGGGATTCGTACGCTGCCCGAAAGATGGGAGAAAGAAAGTGGCCAGCGATGGACAATACTTTGAATCATAAATGTATAACCAGTTTTTTACAATAAAGCCTCGAATTTCGAAAAAAACGGCGGAAGCAAAGTTGTACACCTAATAAAAAATAAAAAAATTTTTTAACTGAATATTTACTTCATATGAAAACTATGGAGAGTTAATGTCTATTAGAAAAAGTCTATTAGTAAAAGTTTATACAATTATATTTATTTACTACTAAATAGCTTAATAGTTGGCTTTGAAACTTTCAGACTTTCTATTTAAAATTTTTTAGATTATATTTGTATTATAAGTGTCGTTTACTTGATTTCGTTAATATAACCTTTATTAATATGTATTAGTAAAAGTTAGTATAATTATATTATAATTATACTAACTTTTACTAATAGACATTAACTTTCCATTGTTCTCATATTAGATCAGTTGAAAAATATTTTATTTTCTAATTATTTAAAAAAGGCTTAAAAACAGCTAACTTTCATACTCTCAGACTTTCCATTTTCATTTCAAGTTTTCTATTTACAAAGACTTTCTATTTACAATTCAAAGTTAGTATAATTTTACTAAATTTTACTAATCAGGTTAAATCACGTTTATATAATTAGGAAATAAAATTTCAACTATCTATGTTTGTTTCATATGATATTTTTAATCATTTTTTTATGATTAGCGTTATTTTGCATCGTAAATGCATTTTGTCGAATGGACAAATAATTTCGTAGGGATGTGTACAAGAAGAATCACATTTGTTTTGCATGCTGTTCGTTTATTATAATTGTCGAAATAATTGTCTCGGTATATATATGCGTGCCAGCATATAATATATTTTATATAATATATTCAACATAAACGCAAAGAGACATATCTTTCGATTAACGATGATAAGAATCATCGCAATTGGATATACATAGTAAAGCAGCGACATATTGCGATGCTAATAGTGGAAGTCATTTAGCCTGGAAAGCGGTTGTCTCAACTGACTCGGTATCACATTCTGAAAAACGTAAGATAAAATATTGTTGAAAAATATTTAATAGAATATTTAACACAAAAAATTTTATTTGTAACTTACGTAGAGGATGTTAATCATCTTCTTTTCCTTAAACAATTTTGTGGGAACCCTGCAAAGAAGCAGAATGTCTGTAAATATGTCAGCTTATTTCCAGCAAACGCATAATATAACTGTTACATGGTTGTATTGTAACGATATGTGACATATGCACGTGTTATATAACATATGCACGTTATATATAATGTATACGTTAATTGTAATTTTCCATTCAAGCAAAATTGTAATTATATAACAGAAATATAATCTTCCCCCCACCCATAAATAATAAGGTTACTAATAGGTTATACGTCAATATATAACTGTATTATAATTAAGATGTTAATTATATAATTAGAATATTAATTATCTATAAAAAAAATAACGTATTTTTTCATCAAGTACTTTTTGAATAATGAAACTTGAAAGTTACAGTACCGCCGGCATTAACATTAACCAAAGTGTATTATGCGGAGGTTGCTCGGTCAGATTTACACTTCTTTCGTATATGTGTGTGTGTGTGTGAAAGTGTGTGTGTGGATGGGTAGGTGTGGGTGTGATGTGTATGGGTGCAGGAATATGTGCGTCTTGCGTGTGAACATGTGCATGGATGGATGCATGGGTGTTTGGGTGGATGTTTACGATGATAAGTTACGGAACAGATAAGGATTGAGGACTGTCACACCACGCATACGCACGCATGCACACGTATACATGCACACATACACACATACACATGCACGAAAGAGGTGTAAATCCGACCGAGCAACTTCCGCATATCATCTTGGGTAATGCTGGTGCCGACGGTAGTGTAAATTTCAAGTTTCATTACTCAAAAAGTATTTAATGAAAGAATACTTTATTATAGTATTTTGGATAGCTCTTGAGATAAGCTACAAGAATATGCAATAAAAAGTAGGAAGTTCCATTTAAAAAATTCACGTTGACTTTGGTGTGATCTTAACTCCTTCATCTAAGGTCAGACAAATAGTAGATTTTTATAGCCCCCTCAAAATCCTACAACTTTTATATTAAACATTTTTCTTGTAGAACGTATATTTTTAAAGATATTGAGATAGGAAGTTTTAAAATAAACACTCTATATATATTATCAGATTTAGGCTTCGAAGCTTCGAAGATTATTCTGAATATCCTCTATATATATGAAGTACGCAAAATACTATATAAAATTAATCAAACATACCATTTTTAAAATAAATGGAATTTTTGTGATCCAACAAAATATCTGTAACAGACAAGTGAATAGTTAATATAATTTCTTTACTAGAAACTTAAATATAACAAATTATTTTACGACTTAATGTTCCTGATCAGTCATCGCGACCATATTGGATTGATAACGTTAGAAGCGAGAAAATTCCATGCCAAAACTTCCTGAGCATATTCTATATATATGAAGTACGCAAAATACTATATAAAATTAATAAAACATACCTTTTTCATAATAAATCGATAGGCCTCAGGACAACTTTTAAAGCTGTTATGAAGACATAGTACGGATTGAGGTGAACATGAAAGTCTTATACCGTTTTGTGATATTCAATCAATATGGAGATATTAATAAAAGAAATTAATTAAAGAAGATTATCTTTCTCATAATGTTTAACTCTTATAGTATCGAACAATATATCGTTGTTAGCAACACTTGCGAAAAGTCGTTCGGCACTAAAAGGATTAAGAATTAATTAAAAGATATTAACTAGAAAGAAGATTTGAGAATGATCATGCGAGATATGATAGATGAGCTGTAGTGGCGACGTCTGCCATCGTGTGCTTGTACATTAGATTAAACTGAACAAAAAAGTGCCATTTTCCTATAATAATTTTGTACATTTTTAATTATTAATTAAAGAAAATTGGCAAATTATTGCTTGCGATAATACATTAATGTTATCTAATTAATAACTAAAAAGTTTACGAAGTTATTAGGGGAAAAAGGTAGACGATTTTTTTGTTAATTTGATCTAATGTACAAACACACGACGTGGTAGATGTTGCTACTCATTTACTATGGCTGCGTTCGCTTTGGGCGCTTATGCGCTGTGAGTGTCATTCTATCTTCTTTCCGCATGTAATGAGCGATAAAGATAGAATGACGCTTACATCGCGTAAGCGCCCAAAGCAAACGCACCCTACATCTCGCGCGATCAATTACAAATGTTTTTTAATTAATATTTCGATGATTATTGAGAATATCTCGTAATAGAAGTTTTATGTTTATTTTAATCCGTGCTATGTCTTCACGAAGCTTCGAAGATTATTCTAAGCATACTCTATATATATATGAAGTACGCAAAATACTGTATAAAATTAATCAAACATACCTTTTTTATAATAGATAAATATTTATAATAGATAAATTTTATAATAGATATATATTTCACAATACATCTGATCAATAAACAAGATATCTGTAACAGACAAGTGAATAGTTAATATAATTTCTTTACTAGAAACTTAAATATAACAAATTATTTTACGACTTAAGGTTCCTGATCAGTCATCGCGACCATGTTGGATTGATAACGTTAGAAGCGAGAAAATTCCATGCCAAAACTTCCTAAGCATATTCTATATATATGAAGTATGCAAAATATTATATAAAAATGATCAAACATACCTTTATTGCAAGTTTAAATAAGATAGTCCCGGTACATTTTTAATTATTAATTAAAGAAAATTGACGAATTATTGCTTGTGATAATATATTAATGTTATCTAATTAATAACTAAAAAGTCTACGAAGTTATTAGGGGAAAAAGGTAGACGATTTTTTTGTTAATTTGATCTAATGTACAATCACACGACGTGGTAGATGTTGCTACTCATTTACTATGGCTGCGTTCGCTTTGGGCGCTTATGCGCTGTGAGTATCATTCTATCTTCTTTCCGCATGTAATGAGCGATAAAGATAGAATGACGCTTACATCGCGTAAGCGCCCAAAGCAAACGCACCCTATATCTCGCGCGATCAATTACAAATGTTTTTTAATTAATATTTCGATGATTATTGAGAATGTCTCGTAATAGAAGTTTTATGTTTATTTTAATCCGTGCTATGTCTACACGAAGCTTCGAAGATTATTCTAAGCATACTCTATATATATATGAAGTACGCAAAATACTGTATAAAATTAATCAAACATACCTTTTTTATAATAGATAAATATTTACAATAGATAAATTTTATACTAGATATATATTTCACAATAATTTTGACCCATAAACAAAATATCTGTAACAGACAAGTGAATAGTTAATATAATTTCTTTACTAGAAACTTAAATATAACAAATTATTTTACGACTTAAGGTTCCTGATCAGTCATCGCGACCATGTTGGATTGATAACGTTAGAAGCGAGAAAATTCCATGCCAAAACTTCCTGAGCATATTCTCTATACATAAAGTACGCAAAATACTATATAAAATTAATCAAACATACCCATTTTTTAATTTTATATGGAATAGATATGAAGAAACATATTTTTTTCTGTAACAGACAAGTGGATAGTTAATATAATTTCTTTACTAGGAACTTAAATATAACAAATTATTTTACGACTTAAGGTTCCTGATCAGTCAGCGCGACCATGTTGGATTGATAAAGTTAGAAGCGAGAAAATTCCATGCCAAAACTTTCTGAGCACTACAGCTAAATAAAAAGATATATTATTAAAATGATATATTGTAATTTATTTTACACACTTGTAAAGGTTCAGATATTTTTCTTTTGCCGAAATAACATAATTGCAACAAATAAGTGTGACAAATCGCCTCGTTTTGACAGAACATAAGCGGTGCGTCTCAGTGTCGAATAAGACTGAATAACTACTTATACGCATTATCACAATATGTACAATATCTGAAACATTTCTACACTTCCATAATTGTATCATATGTGATATGCATGCATAACACTCAATAACGCGGTAGTTCGTAGGAAAACATTGGTCATCTGTTGACATCATTAGGTTTGTTTGTTTCCGATAAATTTTGCACTAATGCAATAAGTTAGAAAGAGACAAATATACTATCTTCCACTCTAATTTATTGCAATAGTTTGTGAATCTAATAGTTCATCATTTTGTCGTTCACAATTATGTTCACGCGAAGTTCTTGGCTGACTGATTAGGAGAATTAACCAAAACATACTCAATAGTGTTCATTTAATGATGCTGTAAAAAAATGTTATATATCTTACATTAAAAGATACGTCATTTACAGTTTAAACTAAATTTTTGATGTACAGTTTTTACTTCTGTGAATTTTACTCTAGGGTTTCTTTCGCTAAATTTTTTACCATAGGTGTAGGCCTATTCTGTGTATTAACATAAGGTGGTAAAAATGACAAAAGTGCACAAAATTCACTAGATGTTGTCCAATAACTAAAATGACCACCATAAAGATATGATTAATGAAATTATAATTTCTCTCGTTTACTTTTGTAATTTTTTTTAAATTGCGTTAATACACAATTGATTTCCAGTACAGAGGTGTTATGGACATGTTCGAATTGGATTCCGATCTGAATAATTCCGTTATTCTGGCCGCAATCTATTTCGGACAAATCCATAATGGCACACCTGAATTCAAAATTCCATTTAGCACCGTAGACCGCATTGGATTCAGAACAAGATCCAGAACCGTGTTCAGAACTGGATTCAACATAGGATTCGGTATTTGATTCAAAACCGTGTCCATAACTGGATTCAGAATTGGAATCAGAGCTATATTCAGAACTGGATTTAGAATTAGATTCAGAACAAGACCAAAACTGTTTTTTTTTTCGTTTACGTTGTTGAAATCTGATTACGCGATTGTTGGAGCCCTCTTTTTCGTGTATCTCGGGATTTGATTTTTCTTCGTTATCATAGTAATTTTCATTGTTAGAGTTTTCTTCGATTTGTTTTTTCTACGTTACTATAGCTAGGTTTTTTTTCGGGATCTCCATCATTAGGATATGATTTACTTTTGTTTCTATTGCTGGAATCTTTATCTTTGCAATCATTTTTAGGCTGAATGGAAAGGAAGCGCTCCAGCAAACACCAAGTAATAGTTATATAACTGTTACGTAGTGTTGGCTGGTGCATTTGAATAATTGTATATTTAATTAAGAAACATCTACATTAGATAAGTACAAATCGAAATAGTGATAGAGCTATGATTTTGTGCGACGAAAGAACTGCCGTTTTCTGCGTTAAAGTCATTACCATTTTTTCAATGTTATAATGTCTCAATTTATTATGGTAATATAATAATATGCGGTGTATACGTACTGTAAATACTAGGGGGATTAAATATTTATTATTATTTTATCACACTTACCATGATTATCCAAAATATTTTCTGGTATATACTGGTATATACTTTAACAATTTTGCCAGGTTTGTTAAATATAATGCTAGAACCACTGTCATTCTGTTAATAAAATAATTCAAGAATTATTCATAAATAAATTATTAAAATAAAAATTTTTAAAATTATTATGATGGCACGTATTATAAACTCGCTCAAAATCGATTACAATCGAAATATTTTATTTATCTTCTACATTTCTGTCGTGATTTTTAGAAGAAACGGAATTGTTTTAACTGAAATCAATGCCTAGCAGATCTATAATACGTATCTTGAGGATTGAAATAGAATCAGGATGTGCATTATGAATAACACAAAATGGTGAAAATGGCAGATATACGCAAATTCACTAGATGTTGACCAATAATTGAAACTATAACCATCATTAAAATATGATAAATGAAATTATAATTCTTCTAGAAAAATATTTCACTTTTATAGTTTTTAACAAGTTGCGTTAATACACAATCAACTTCCAATACTGAGCTGCTATTATGTATTAACACAAAATAGTGAAAATGGCAAAAGTGCGTAAGTTCACTAAGTGTTGACCAGTAATTGAAATTATAACCATTATTAAGATACGACCAATGAAATTATAATTTTTCTAAAAAAATCATTTGCTGTTATAATTTTTATCAAATTGTGTTAATACACAATCGACTTTTAGTATTGAATTGCTATTATGGACATGTTTGGATTGGATTCCAATGAGAATAATTCCGTTTTTCTTAGAAATCATAGTAGAAATCTAAGAAATAACTAAATTATTTTGACTGAAGTTTATTCCGAACAAATCTATAATGGCACTTCTGGATTCACAATTAAATTTAGAACTGGATTGAATACTGTATTTAAAACTGAATCCAGAAACATGTTCCATGATCCAAAACAGAATTCAGAATTGGATTTAGAATTGGATACAGAACTGGATTCAAAATTTGATTTAGAATTGGATTCAGAAACTGGACTGAAATTGTTTTTTTCTCTTACGTTATTGAAATCTAATAATTTACGCGAATATTGGAATTCTCTTTCTCATGTATCTCGGGATTTTTTTCGTTATCAAGGAAATTTTCAGTATTCGAGTTTTCTTCGGAATTTATTTGTTCTACGTTATCACTAGGAGATTCTTCGAGATTTTCCTTCTTGGGATATGATTTATTTTTATTTCCATTGCTGAAATCTTTATCTTTGTAATTATTTTGGGACCGAAAGTAAAGGAAATGTCATACCAAACACTAAGTAACATTTATATAACTATTACTTGGTGTTTGTTAGGGCATTTAAATAATTAATATCCAATTAAGAAACGTTCGCATTAGATAAACGCAAATCGAAATAGTGATAGAGGTATGATTTTGTCCGACAAAAGAACTACCGTTTTTTGAGTTAATGTCATTAACAATTTTTTTAATGTCGTAGTCTGTTCATTCGTAATGGTAGTATAACATTAGGTGGCGTATACGTATTGTATACCCGAGAGAGTGGAGTGATTACATGTTATTATTTTATTACTTATTGGTGAATCAGTAAGAGAATTCTCAGGTCTTTTTGTTGTTTTCTCGCAATCTCGCTAATAATATGATAAAAGAAATAGATAAAAGAAATTTGTAGTAAAATGAAAATTATCAAAACTATTATAATGTCATATATTATGAACTTATTCGAAATCGACTTCGGAATCTTTTAGTTATATCCTACATTTCTATTGTTTTTAGAAGAAGTGGAATTGTTTTAATTGAAATTGATATGCCGAAAGGATTTATAATACGTATCTATAATGTATATCTATAACGGATCTATAATACGTATCTTGAGAACGGTATTAGAATTAGGATATACATTATGTATTATGTAATAAGGTCATGAAAATGGCAAAAATGCGCAAATACACTAGATGTTGACCAATAACTGAAGCTATGACCATTATGAAGATATGACCAATGAAATTTGAATTCTTATAGTAAAATCTTTCACTTTTATAGCTTTTAACAAGTTGTATTAATACACAATCAACTTCCAATACTGAGCTGCTATCATGGACATGTTTGGATAGGATTCCGATAGGAACAATCCCATTTTCCATAGAATACATAATAGAAATCTAAGGAATAACGAAATTATTTTGACTGAAGTCCATTCCGAACAAGTCCATAATGGCACATTTGGACATTTCAGAATTGGATTTAAATTTGAATTCAGCAATGGATTCAAAACTGGATACGGGGCCGTAATCAAGACTGAATTCACAATCGGATTTAGAACTGGATTCAAAACTTGACATAGAATTAGATTCCGAAGTGGACTGAAACTATTTCTTTTCGTTTAAGTCATTAGAGTTTGATACTTTTCTGCGTTTGGAATCATTTTTGTCGCCTTCCCCGGAATGTGATATTTGTCCCTTGTCAGAGTTTTTTTTAGTGGTGGAATTCATATTTTCATCTTCCACCATATTTTTCTTCTTGACATATGATATATTTCCATTAGCATTGCTGGAAACTTTGTCTTCACAATCATTTTCATATTGAATGGGAAGGAAGCACTTCAGCAAACACCAAGTAACAGTTATATAACTGTTACGTAGTGTTGGCTGGTGCATTTGAATAATTGTATATCCAATTAAGAATCATCCACATTAGATAAATGCAAATCAAAATAGTGATAGAGCTATGATTTTGTCCGACCAAAGAACTGCCGTTTTCTGCGTTAAAATAATTAACACTTTTTCAATGTCATAGTGTCTTAATTTATTATGGCAGTATAATAATATGCGGCGTATACGTACTGTAAATACTAGAAGGATTAAATGTTCATTATTATTTTGTCGCACTTACCGAGCATTTCGAACATTTCTCCATTTCCTTAGAATTCTTCTTATTCTTATGATTATTATCATCGCGAATTATATCATGATATAGGTGTATATCATTTTCCTGTTAATAAAATAATGCAAGAATTATTCGTAATAAAATGAAAATTTTCAAAATTATTATGATGGCATGTATTATAAACTCGGTCGGAATCCAATACTGAGCTGCTATTATGGACATGTTTGGATAGGATTCCGATAGGAACAATCCCGTTTTCCATAGAATATATAATAGAAATCTAAGGAATAACGAAATTATCTTGACTGAAGTCCATTCCGAACAAGTCCATAATGGCACATTTGGATTCAGAATTGGATTTAAATCTAAATTCAACAATGGATTCAAAATTGAATCCGGGGCCGTAATTAAGACTGAATTCACAATCGGATTTAGAACTGGATTCAAAACTTGACATAGAATTAGATTCCGAAGTGGACTGAAACTACTTCTTTTCGTTTAAGTCATTAGAGTTTGATACTTTTCTACGTTTGGAATCATTTTTCTCGTCTTCCCCGGAATGTGATATTTGTCCCTTATCAGAGTTTTTTTTAGTGGTGGAATTCATATTTTTATCTTCCGCCATATTTTTCTTCTTGACATATGATATATTTCCATTAGCATTGCTAGAAACTTTGTCTTCGCAATCATTTTGTGATTGAATGGAAAGGAAGCACTACAGCAAACACCAAGTAACAGTTATATAACTGTTACGTAGTGTTGGCTGGTGCATTTGAATAATTGTATATCCAATTAAGAATCATCCACATTAGATAAATGCAAATCGAAATAGTGATAGAGCTATGATTTTGTCCGACCAAAGAACTGCCGTTTTCTGCGTTAAAGTAATTAATACTTTTTCAATGTAGTAGTATCTTAATTTATTATGGTAGTATAATAATATGCGGCGCATACGTACTGTGAATACTAGGAGGATTAAATGTTCATTATTATTTTATCTCACTTACCGAGGATTCCTTCCATTTTATTTCGTTAGAATTCTTTCTATAATTATTATCATCATAATTCTGTTAATAAAATAATGCAAGAATTATTCGTAATAAAATGAAAATTTTCAAAATTATTATGATGGCATGTATTATAAACTCGGTCGGAATCCAATACTGAGCTGCTATTATGGACATGTTTGGATAGGATTCCAGTGGGAACAATTCCATTTTCCATAGAATATATAATAGAAATCTAAGGAATAACGAAATTATCTTAACTGAAGTCCATTCCGAACAAGTCCATAATGGCACATTTGGACATTTCAGAATTGGATTTAAATTTGAATTCAGCAATGGATTCAAAACTGGATACGGGGCCGTAATCAAGACTGAATTCACAATCGGATTTAGAACTGGATTCAAAACTTGACGTAGAATTAGATTCCGAACTGGACTGAAACTACTTCTTTTCGTTTAAGTCGTTAGAGTTTGATATTTTTCTGTGTTTGGAACAATTTTTCTCGTCTTCTCTGGAAGGTGATATTTATTTCTTGTCAGAGTCATTGGTAGAATCTATATTTTCATCTGTTCCTAATTCCACCGTATTTTCCTCCTTGGAATATGATATATTTCCATTAGCATTGCTAGAAACTTTGTCTTCGCAATCATTTTCAGATTGAATGGAAAGGAAATGTCATAGCAATCACTAGAGTAAAAGCACCAAAAGCGATATACTACTTTTTAGACGTTACGTCTTAATATAAAGCTTAAAATATAAATGTATACTTAATATATATACATGTAGTTGGAAGTACCTCCTATCAGATAATATTACATTTTTACTGAAATTGTTTCTAGATTTAAAACAAAAAATATTTTCGTAAAACGCACGAAAATGGAGTTCAAAGAAAATAGGTGCCAAAAGCGACATACCTATTGGAATTTATATAACATGTCGCATATGATAATATTTGATAATAAATAGTTCATTAATGTGTTTAATTGTTGAATAATATTCATTTATTCAAAATATAATGTTGCAAAAGAGAAATATAATTAAATAAATATATATTTTTTTCCATCTTTTTCATTTTCTCACATATTTTACATATGTTATATTTTTAAACTAAATAAAATTAAACTTTGAAATAAACAAATGTCACGTCCAATTGGGAGGTTATTAATCAAGTTATGTTAGTCACAGTGTATCGCAGCTATCGCATACTGTAGGTATATCACTTTAAGACACATTCTCATAAAATTTTTCAAGTTATACAGTAAAAAAGTAATGAAAGTAAAAATATTCAAAAAATATTTTTACCAAAGCCAAATACATGTAGAAAAACTTAATATTGAACAAAATGATAATTATCGCTATTTAGTCTACGTAATTTGTCAATAAAAATCTTAGAAGTAAAACTTGCAAATTTTTAAAACTTGATATTTGCTAATTAATTAGCATATAAAGGAACAATAAATATACCAAATATGAATTTTTTATGACTTAACTAATAAAACGGATTACGTTTATATTAGTTTCAATAAAATACAACATTTAATATAATAATTAATATATAAGATATAGAAGTATGTTGCTTTAGGAGGTCTGTGTCGCTTTTGGCTACTTTCCTCTAACAGTTATATAACTGTTACTTGGTGTTTGCTGGGGCATTTTAATAATTGGGCATATCCAATTAAGAAACGTCTGCATTAGGTAAGTACAAATCGAAAAAGTAATAGAGATATGATTTTGTCTTACGAAAATACTGCCATATTCTGCGTTAATGTTATTAACATTTTTTTTAATATTGTAGTTTCTTAATTTATTATGGTATAACACTGTTACGTATACGGCGTATACGTATGTAACAAGGGAAGGGCAATTATATGTTTATTATTACTTTATCACTTACCTTTATATTCTCGTGATCATTGAGATCCTCGGCATTTTGCTAATACCATGATGAAAGAATTATTCGTAGTAAAATGAAAAGTATTAAAATAATTATGTGTATGTTTCATTCTTCGATGTGTACGTACCTTTTCTCGCTTATACACTTCATCAGGATCCTATAAATTTAAGCTGTTATTATGTTGAGGACGAAACATCTTGGTAAAAATAAATGTTGTGAGAAACTTTTATAGATACTATGAAAAATTCAATATACAAATTTAAAGTAATTTCATTTGTATATTGAATTTAAAGTAATTAACACTTTTTCAATGTATCTTAATTTATTATGGTAGTATAATAATATGCGGCGCATACGTACTGTAAATACTAGGAGGATTAAATGTTCATTATTATTTTATCTCACTTACCGAGGATTCCTTCCATTTTATTTCGTTAGGATTCTCACTATAATTATCATCATATTTCTGTTAATAAAATAATGCAAGAATTATCCGTAATAAAATGAAAATTTTCAAAATTATTATGATGGCATGTATTATAAACTAGGTCGGAATCCAATACTGAGCTGCTATTATGGACATGTTTGGATTCCAATGGGAACAATTCCGTTTTCCATAGAATATATAATAGAAATCTAAGGAATAACGAAATTATTTTGACTAAAGTCCATTCCGAACAAGTTCATAATGGCACATTTGGATTCAGAATTGGATTTAAATCTGCATTCAGTAATGAGTTCAAAACTGGATCCAGGGCCGTAATCAAGACTGATTACATTTAATTCATTACATTCAATATACAAATTGAAACAGTTTTTTATATATAATTTACGGGAAAGAACTGAGGAAATTTTGTACATAAATTAAAATTTTATTTACATGTATTTACAGGAATTAAAATTTCGATTTTTTTAAAAATTTTTTGTATTAAAAATTATGTTAAAAATTTAACATTAACATAAAATATCTGCATTAATTTATAAACATAAACTATAAGCATAAATACTATAACAAATAATTATAAGCATTAATTTATAAACATAAGAAATTATAAATATAAGGAATTATAGAAAAGATTTAATGTTAGTAGAAAAATAAAATTTTTATGAAACTCCAACATTTTTTTAAATAATTCTTCAGGAAGATTTACATTATTATGAAAATTGATTATTTCATGTACGTGAAAAATTAAGAAACAGTAAGTATTTGAATAAAAGTCCAAAATTTTTGGCGAAATTTCAATTAAAACTAAACGGAGAGTTTGATAATTTTGTAAGAGATACAATGAATTTTCCTAAAAAAGTTGAAAACAGTTATCATTTATTGAAAAATTTAATTTGTCAGAGGAATCACACATTTTTAATCAGAATATTTGCACTAAGGATACTGCATTATTAATGCGATGGAAGAATTATACACAGTAAAATAAAAAATATTAAAACTAAGATGTATCAGTGTTCTCAACGTATACATACCTTATTCCAAGCTACTTTTCCAAAAACACTCCCACTAAAGATCAGCAATAAAAGCACAACACGTATCTCCATTGTTATATGTCAAAACAGACAAATATTCTGTACGATACAATTCGTCTTTACTTGACGATCTCCTTCTTTGTTATGAATAAACTCAATGCACCGACAAAACAATTCCAAACAGATATTCTGGTAAGCTACTGGCCGTTTGAAATTGTTCAACATTGTAAATTCCTTATAAGGAGACTACTGTATCTTATCATGTTCTGAAAATTGCGCCAAAGTATGTAGTTATTGTTTTTAAATGCTTAATTGAAGTTAATTTGCTATACATAATATTTTGCATATTCGTATGCGTGCCGCTAATTATATAATAGCGAGTGCGTTTGGATATTCAAAACAAAATAATTTAAAAGAATACACAGTATTTTCTTCAATTTATGGAAATTGGCTAGTCGTTTGTGTATTCATATACGTTTTGGGTATCTTCCGTTGAAATTTTAATTAAATTAATTGATAATTAATTGACAGAATTGTCTACAGTAATTTCTAGTTATATTATTTGTTGTTTCTTAATAAAGAAGTGAATAATCTTGTGTATATTAATAAAATAGAACAATTAATGTTTGATTAATAATAATTTTAAATAATAAGTCGTAATCAGAGAATACACACAAAAGAATTTTTTTACTCAACTTGGATAACAAACTATTTTATTTCTCACGTTAGTAACTTTGTCGTCTGAGTGAATTGTCAATAATTTTAATTTGATTTTGATAAAAGTCACCCCCCAGATTCATTATTGAAGTCCGATGAGTTGTGCTCCTACTTAATTTAACGTAACGTCTTCGTTACTCTTTTAGATGTTTGCTTGACAACATGGACAGGTAAGTGCAAAAACGCGCAATTATTCATTTTGTTTTCGTTGTCAAACCAAATCAGAGAAAATTAATTTCTTAAACTTTTGTTAACCCTTACAGTGAATAGAGGTGTTATTCGTTTCCGGGAACTTTTAATAATTTTAAATCGCTTCTCTCTCCGAAATTTCTAAAATTTCATTGTATGTTCAGAAAAGAATTTAATGCAATAAAGGCAGGAACATAGCAATATTAAGAAGTCAAATCAAGAAGTGAAGAACGCTATTATTTTTTAGAATAGAATACGTAAATTTAACCATAGAAGATATATCTCTATTGAAAAAAGTATTTCAATTGAGAAATCTTGTGGAAATCGCAATTGTGTCCTCAAATGAGACTTTAAATGAGATCATAATTGAGTTCTCAAGAAACGTGTTCAATAGGGTACTTACTTAACATATACCTTTAACATATACCTTTTGATAGGAAAACTTGTTTTACTTTGTATATTGTGCATTTCAATAGTTTCCAAGTTATTTTAGAATATTTAATTAATATAGTGTTTCGAATTTTGACAAGACCGTTAACTGAACAAACATGAGGACGGTTAATAAAGTTTTTGCGGATGTATGTGTCTTACTCTCCCGATTGTTTGTGCTTTTTACTTCTTTTCTTATTTTTGGATAAAATTATTATTTATGTTATTTTCTTAATAAGGAAAATATTAAAAAAATATATATAATTTCTTTTCTTTTCTTACATAAAAATATATTGTTTTTACATGCTTAAATGATATATTTTTTTAAGATACCATAACAAACTGTTTTTTAATTTGTTTCTTGCCATTCTTAAATATAAAATCACCATATTTCTCTTTTCTTAAACAAAATTAGGAAAGTTATGATTTTATCAACGTTACTGTTACCGTTATAAACAGGAAAAAGTAACAATTGTTATTGAAAAAAAGCAATATAACGGTAACGGTTTTATAAGTAACGCATTATTTTCCAACTTTGGCATAGAGTAATATTCGTACCACGCTGACGATGATATCATTTATCTTATGATACCCTTATGTCCACCATTGTGTTTAAGAAGTTGCTTAAATTCTCATAAGCGTCGACAATCGCTCTGTCCATTCCGACGAACTTATCGCCCGTATTGCCGAATGTGTCTTCCTCCTTGGTTCCATTGATGATCGGCGTGGGATTTTAAAAAACTACCTAGCAGTTGTTGGGCGTTGACGAGTATTGGCCTCTTCAAAATTCGATGCGCTGTATTATTTTTTAAACGAACTATTTTTCATTGCACTGGTGGCAACAAAACGGTGGACGTAATGGTTTGAACTGATGTCAAAGATCTGCGGCTTGGATTAGGCTTGTTAGACGTTGTAACTATCGTGGTGAGGTTACTCGAAGCTTTATTGGATATAATTGCTGCGTAAAAAAGGATGTGTACACTTGTTTATACGTAGCACTTTTTTCATTATGTAGAACGATTCTGCCACAAGTTGCCATTTACCTACAGTACCTACAGTACGATTGCCTACAAGCTCTATTGCGCACAAATAAAAATTAAGAGACGAACGTACGTTTAAAAAATTGGTAATTATCCAGTTATACCGTCTATCTCTAGCTATGTAACTGGGAGACTTCGCCCCCCAGTCACATAGCTAGAGATAGATGGTATGACAACGCGTCGATTGAGCCTATTTTCATCGAAATCGGAGGTGTTGCCGCTAAACTAAATAATTACCATATTATGTGTGCAAACGAGCGTTCGGCTTTTAATTTTTTATTTGTGCGTAATAAAGCTTGTAGACAATCTGTAGGCAATTATTTTTGTGTGCAAACGTACGTTTATCTCTTAATTTTTATTTGTGCGCAATAGAGCTTGTTGGCAAACGTACTGTAGGCAATAATATTATGTGCGCAATGTGGCTTGTGCGCAATAGTTTAGTGTGTGCAAACGTACGTCCGTCTCTTAATTTTTTATTTATGCACAATAGAACTTGTAAGCAATCTTACTGTAGACAATAATTTTTGTGCGCAAACATGCATTCGTCTCTTAATTTTTATTTTTGCACAATGGAACTTGTAAGCAATCTTACTGTAGGCAATAATTTTTGTGCGCAAACGTGCATTCGTCTCTTAATTTTTATTTGTGCGCAATAGAGCATGTAGGCAATCATACTGTAGGCAATAATATTATGTGTGCAATGTGATTTCTGCGTAAGTGTCGTGTGTGTAAACGAGCGTTCGGCTTTTAATTTTTTATTTGTGCGTAATACAACTTGTAGGTAATTGTTTTGTAGGCAATAATTTTTTTTGTACAAATGGAATGTGGATAAATTGAATGTCAGCAATCGATACTGTAGGCAATTAATTTGTAGACAAACGGGATCCTCCCAATATCCTGACTAATTTATAAACATAAGAAATTATAGAAAATGTTAGTAGAAAAATAAAATTTTTATGAAAATGTAACATTTTTTTATAATTCTACAGAAAAATTTACATTATTATAAAAATTGATTATTTTATATATGTGAAAAATTAGGAAACAGTAAGTAATATTTGGTTCAAAGTTTTTTGCGAAAAATTCATAATTTGATTAGTATCAAATTAGTTTGATATAATTTCGTAAAAAAAACAATAAATTTTCATTAACATTAAAAAATTAAAAACAGTTATAATTTATTGAAAAATTTAGTTACTCAGAGGAATTACACATTTTCAGTTAGAATATTTTTACTAAGGATACTATACTATTATAGAAGAATTATACATAGTAAAGTCAAAACTATTAAAACTAATAAAATGTATCAATGTTCAGCGTAATAATACCTCATTCCAGGCTGCTTTTCCAAAAACACTCCCGTTGAAGATCAGCAACAAAAATGCAACACGTATCTGCATTGTTATATGTCAAAACAGACAAATATTCTGTACGATATAATTCGTCTTTATGTACATTCTGCGTATCTTCCGTTAGAATTTTGATTAAATTAATTGATAATTAATCGACAGAATTGTCTAGAGTTATGTAATTTGTCGTTTATCAATAAAGAAGTTAATGATCTTTGTATATGTTAATAAAATAGAACAGTTAATATTTGGTTAATAATAATTTTAAATAATAAGTTTTAATAAGAGAACACTCGCACACAAAGAATTTTTTTACTTAACTTTAATAATACATTATTTTATTTCTCATGTTAGCAACTTTATTGTCTGAGTGAATTGTCAATAACTTTAATTTTGATAACTTTGATTTTGATGAAAGTCTCTCTCCATATCCATTATTGAAGTCCGATGAGTCGTGCTCCTATTTGATTTAACGTCTCCGTTATTCCTCTAGATGTCTGCTTGACAGCATGGACAGGTAACTGCAAAAACACACAATTATTTCTTTTCTTTTCATTGTTAGACCAATTTAGAAAAAAATAATTTCTTAAGCTTTCATTAACTCTTACACATGGAAAAAAAGACTTGGTTAAATTAACCAAATATCTGGTCGAATATGAACGATCCAGAAATTCCAATTGAAGTAACTCGAATTCTGTTTAAGTTAACAAGATTTTTGGTTAATCTACCAAAAATCTTGTTAACTTAAACAGAATTCGAGTTAGTTCAATTGGAATTTCTGGATCGTTCATATTCAACGAGATATTTGGTTAATTCAACCAAATCTTTTTTCTCCGTGCAGTGAATAGGGGAATTATTCGCTTGCGGGAACTTTTAATAATTTTGAATCACTTTTTACTCCGAAATTTCCAAAATTTCTTTGTATGTATTCCAAAAAGATTTTGGTGTAATAAAGGTAGAAACATTCACAGCGATATCAACAAGTTAAATCAACAGATGGAGAACACTATTATTTATAACTATTTATTTATTATTATATTATACTTATTACACTATTATTTTTAAGAATAGAATATTTAAATTTAACGCATGGAAGACATATCTCTACTGAAAAAAGTATCTCAATTGAGAAATGTTGCAGAAATCTTAATTAAATTCTCAATTGAAATCTCAATGAGATTTTAAATAAAATCTCAATTTTGAGTTCTCAAGACACTTTTTTTAGTAGGGTACTTGACATATACGAGGGCTATTTTTTTTTCAAGGTCCGATCGATCGCAAAATTAAAGCCACAGTGAAAATCAATTTTTTTTTATTTTCAATATCTAAGTACATCTTTCGGCTACTTCTCTACATAGTCGTCACTCCGATGTAGACATTTTTCATAGCGTGGTATCAGCTTTCCAATACCCTCGTGATAGAAGGCAATCGCCTGTGCTTTCAGCCAACTGTTGACGGTGGTCTGAAGCTCGTCATCTGTGTGAAAATACTGTCCTCTTAGTTTTTCATGTGGGGAAAGAGATGAAAATACGAGGAGCCAAATTCGGGCTGTACGGCGGATGATCAAACACTTCCCATCCGAAACGCCGCAGGAGCGTTCTTGCACCATTGTCGCACTTTGCTGTCTCTCATGAAAGTTTGACCATACACATTACTCATTCGTCGATGAATTTCCGCAGCATTGATCCCCTCAGCATGAAGAAACCGAATGACAGCACGCAGCTCACACTTGGCGGGAGACTCTATTGTCCTAGGCATGTTTACTCGCTCACCATGCGCTCAGGCCTGACGAGAGAGACGTGATGTGATCGGTAGTCGTACTACACACTTTGCACAACATATCTGCACAAAGCTTCATAGGATTTTCACTGCGGTTTTAATTTCGCGACCGATCGGACCTTGAAAAAAAAATAGCCCTCGTACTTGATATATACTTGACATATACTTTTTGATAGGAAAACTTGTTTTTCTTTGTATATTTTATATTTCAATAGTGTGTGTGTTTTTTAAGTTATTTTAGAATATTTAATTAATATAATGTTTTGAATTTCGACAAGATCGTTAACTAAACAAACACGAGGACAGTTAATATAGTTTTTGCGGATGTATGCGTCTTACCCGATTCTTTGTGCTGTTAACTTTTTTCTTACTTTTGTATAAAGCGTCAAATTTTTAAAATTTAAAATTTTTTAAATTATGTTATTTAATTTTATTTTCTTACATAAAGATACATTGTTTTCACATGCAGAAATAATACCATTTTTTTAAGGTACTATAATAAATTGTTTTTTAAAATTAATTCTTGCCGTTCTTAACTATACAATCACCATATTTCTCTTTTTTTTTAATTTGGAAAGTTATGTTTTTATCAATGTTACCGTTACCGTTATAAACAGGAAAAAGTAACGATTGTTAATGTAACGATAACGGCTTTATAAGTAACGCGTTATTTTCTAACTTTGATAAGGAGTAATGTTGGTACCACGCTGACGATGATATCATTTATCTTATGATACACTTACATCCACCACTGTGTTTAAGAAGTTGCTTAAATTTTCATAAGCGTTGACAATCGCTCTGCCAACTCCGATGAACTTATCGCCCGTATTGCCGTATTTGTCTTCTTCCTTGATTCCATCGACGATCGGCGTGGGATTTAAAAAACTATTCAGCAGTTGTCGGGCGTTGTCGGGCGTTGGCTTCTCCAAAATTGCCTGCGCCGTATTATTTTCTAAACGAACTGTTTCTCGTTGCACTGGTGGGAACAAAACGATGGGCGTAGTGGTTTGGATCGATGTCAAAGATCTGCGGCTTCGATTAGGCTTGTCAGATGTTGTAACTGTCGCGGTGAGGTTGCTCGAAGCTTTTTTGGATAGTTGCTGTGTAAAAAAGGATATGCATACGTATTAGTACGTAGCACTCTATTTATTACATGTTATTCAACAACAACACCTATAATAAAAGAAATGAGAAGAAAATATAAGAAGAACCAGTAACGATAATGAAGCAAATGTTAATTAAGTCGCTCAGTTCACGCGAATAACGTTTCCATCGTGTGTCCTATTTACAATATTAATCTTTTATGCTTGGAATGGTCGAGCTACAATCAACGTAAGATTTTTTTCGGATAGCTCAGATAGCGAATTGTATCTGACATGAATATTTATTAAAATTTAGAAAATATATATAAAGTGGAACGTGCTGTATTTAATTTGGAAATATATTGACACGTCATCTCACGTAGCATCAAAGTCAATGTTGTTATTATTACAATGTTGCTACATATATAATATCTCTGTAAATTAAATCTTTGTATATGAGAATACAATGGTGTAGTAATTTTCTCTATTGGAGAACAGTACGTAGATTGTACTAAACTGTTAGCTTAAGATGTTTAAGTAATTTAATTGAAATTATTATATTAATTTAATCACAACACAACAATGAATTAATTAAGGAAGTTTTGTATGGATATGTTCAAGTTCACAAGATTTATTAAGGGATTATTGGATCCTCTGACAGATATATATATATATATATATATAATTCATATTTTTTAAATTTATTGGGGTTATAGTTGTGGATTCATGGAGCGGATTTTGTAGAGAACTATATTTTATAAAATGGAAGTAATAGAAAAAAAATTTGATCTTTTCACTGAAACATTTAAACTTGTAAAATTAATAAATAACAAATGTTTTTGAAATTTAAGGACAACCTCTGTAATCTGACAATTATAACCCCAATGAATAAAAAGAAGATATTATTACACATTTCACTCATGCTAAAGTTAGGTCACGTTTATCGATAAAATATCGATAACGTGGCATATCCAGGGGGAGGGGGGAGGGGCTGAGGAAGAAGAGGCCCGAAATTAATTTTTTGGGTTATGCCACTGATAAAATATGATTCTTTTGCAGAATAAAATTGAAATGGATACAATAATGTTAATATTTATCATAAAATTTAATCTTTTTATATCACGATATTGTTAATCATAATCGAATAAATAAAATTCATACTTCTATTAATTTTAAACTTTTCATAATTTTATCTAATTCTTGCTCCTATCATGTTTCATAATATCTTAAAAGTCCCGGAAAGTAGTTCTTCTAAGTCTATTATAATGTTTTTATAAGTTCATAATTAAAAGTTTCAAAACATACGAAAAAAAAAAAAAAAAAAATGGCTCGATAAATTGCTTCAAAATACAAACATTTGTTTTATCGCGGAATTCACTTATTGCCAGAAAAGTGGAAAAAAATAATAACTAGTAATAGAAAATATTTTGTATAAAATATAATTTAACGTCTCTCCAAAATAAATATATTTTTTTGCAAAAAATCCTTCAAAACTAACCGAAATACCTGATATTATGGAGTGCACAGGATTAAGCCATCTTTCACGTCTTTCACGAATAATAAGGATAATTCATGTAATAAGGATAATTTTGATAGATACAGTAATTACCTCCGCTTGATCGGCGATGACGTTTCTGATCAGTACTATCGAATTGACTAATCTCCCCCTGCCGATTCTTGTTGCATCAACGATGCGTCCTAACAATTCCTACAAAACAATAATTTTGACTTCGCCTGCCGACAATATCGGCGATTCATGAAAATATTTAATTAGAATTACTACTAGAACACAAACGTTACGAGAAATCTTTAATGCAAATTTATTTTTTATTTAATTTAGATGTATTCCTTTTTGTTGCCTTAGACATCGATAAATTGAACTAAGAATTACAAAGAATTAGCTTCTTTGTTATATTTATATTTGTATTTTTACAAAATTGCATTTTTATGTATTCTCGTAATTCAACTTCAGACAGTACATAAAATTAAAAGATAACGAAAAGATGTTTTTTTGTAGTTGGCTAGACAAAGAGATGCTTAGAAGATATCTTTATATCTCTAAATATCAATTTAGTTGACGCGAAAAGTCATCCTTCTTTAATTGTCTTTTTAACAAGATATACACTAAAACATAAAACATGTCTATACTGAGAGAAACATCTAGAAATTAACAAATATTTATTAAGTGGGTACCATTAACATATTTACTTAAATCAAATTTCTTTTCATTTAAACTGAATATTATTTACACGGTTTAAGTAAACAATACTCAGTTGAAGAGAATTTTGATTTAAATGTGTTAATGGTACTCATCTAATAAATATTTGTTAATTTTTAAATACTAATTAAATAAATTTATGTATTATATTATTTAAATACTAATTAAATAATTTTTTTTTTCTTTGTAAAAGACGTTTCGATACTCAAAAAGTCGACTTTTTAACTAGATAAGAAATTATTTAAAAAATATTTTAAATAAAAAATAGAATAAATGGTGCTATGAGTAATATTTTCTGTAAACACCAAATAACAGTTATATAACTGTTAGTTATAATTTCCCAATTAACGAAATAACTGTTATATAATAGTTAGATTGTTGAGTGGGAAATTATAGCTAACAGTTACATAACTATTACTTGATGTTTGCTAAATTTATTGAACTGTTTTGATAGAACTTTATAGTCTCTCATGCATTTCGTTATGCGCGCAGTCGGCTGATTACAGGTAGCAAGATTTTTTCGTCGATGAATTTTGCAGCGCATTCCGTATCTAAAACATATCTTTTGAAGATTATATTAAAAAAACTTTTTTATTGGATTCAAAGTATATGATAAAACTTATAGAAAGATGACTATTTTTTATATATAATTTAGTTCATAGAGGGAAAGTGTTACTATTGTACATTAGATATCTTCAAAATACATGTTTCGATCTTATGTATTTCGCCTCATGTTTATTTTCAGATATTCTATAGCCAATGAAACGATCTGTACTGCATATGAATATGAACTTAAGGCAATCTTAAACATAAAATCTGACTATGAATATTATCTTTAATAGTGATAAAGAGTTACAAAGCTGGTTTCGTTGTTATTCTTTAAACTTTGTCCAACAGGACGGTAGGAAATATAAGGATAAAGCTAATTTTTTAAGGAAGATCTACAACAAAAATTATATATTTTAATTATATATGTTCTTTCTTAAAGAATTTTAAAGAAATTAATGGAATATTTGTTTGCAATTGTAGTTATAATAACAATACTACTGTAGTTTAAATTTATATAGAACTTCTATTTTTGTATAGATAAAACATCTATATTTTTATATAGATAAAACAAATTTATATAAAATATACGCAATAGATAAATATATATCTAAAATATTTTAGAAAACGACTAAAATATTTTGATATTAAGTATTTTAGAAGTTTCGATAAATAACAATATTTAGTGAGACATAAAACATTTTTTAATCATCTTATCGTCGGCTATATACTTTATCAAAAATATATCTACATCGAAAATCTGTCATCTTTTAATCATCTTTGAGATATTTATGTGATCTTATAAATGATATATGATCTTATAAATGTAAAATGTATCCTCACCTTTCCTTGCTCCAATGTTGAAGACAAAATGTTCTTGTTGTCATTTTTTATGGTATAGAGGCTGAATCTCGTGGATTCTTCCGCTGGACGAGCGCTCGATAAATCCAAGCAGCAACTCACCGATAGAACCATTAAAATCTTCAACATTATTTCTTCTGATACACAGTGTAAAAGTTTAAAAGTTTAAAAAATATATAAACTTCTAAAACAAAGTTTCTAAAATATATAAACACAAAAACGGAGAAAAGTTTTCAGTTTTAAGATGCACTTTTGTTCACAGAAATTTGTTGTTTAAAATTATCAGTATAAAATAACAAATAGTTGTATATAAACGTAGTTCGTCTCCGTTGAACGGCGATCAGCCGACTAACAGATTTCGCTTTCGATGATGACGAACTCACTTCATGTCTTACGACACTGTGTATTACTTTCTCTTTCTGTGCTTCTTCATACTGTAAACTACGAGTATTGAATCGGTTGGTCATTGAGGCAAAATTAAAGTCACTAGATATTTCTGATTACTCATTATAAAATTTTCTCTATTTTATTAAATATAAAAGGATCTGGATATAAATTTTAAAAGGCGACTTATATCATATCATAATTCTGGATTTATTGAAATCATTTGTAAAATTATATCGTTAAGTTGTATTATCAGATCATTAAAAGAAGATAGCGTGAAGTATATTTATATTAGAAGAATAATATATATATATATATATATATATATATATATATATATATACACCTTATCGGTGTGTAGAACAGAAAATAGATGCAGAAGTAGAAGATACATTTAGACTAGTATTCATAGTCGGATTTTATATTTAAGATCGTTTTAAGTATCTTCAGACGATATGCGGATCATTTCATTGGTTACGGAGTAAGGGGGACTGAAGGGGAACTTAAGATTGTCTTAAATATAAGATCCAGCTGTGAATATCGGCCTTAATCTTTACTGAGACGATAAGTGTAACGTTTAACGACATTGCTTCAGGCAACTTTATAGATAGATCTGGCACGTAGAATATTACAACCTAGGTGGCACGAGAGTTTACTGTTGCGAGGTAAAATGTGACATAGCGTGTTGCGTAGATCGGCCTCCTTCATCTGCAAGAAAAAAGTTATTTCAATATTGCGGAATCAAATGTAGCTCTCTGTTCCATAAATGTCGCAAATGCTTGTATGTTACAAAACACGAAACATTAAAAATGCCCTCATTATATTTACTCACACATTTTACATACACATTTACATATAAGGTATTTATTACAACACATGCATTCACTTCTGTGTAAGAACTCATCGAATATAATAAAAAATCCTCTTACTTTGTAAACAACTGATAATTATTTTGTAGGAAAATATCTATAAAGTTATATGACGAAATTTAAACGAAATTTGTAATGCTGCAATTAATGTGGCTGTATTTGAAAACCAATATATGTAGAAATATCTGCATACATCTTTTATGACTTTTATATATTTTTTATCTACGATTTTTTATAAAATATTGATAAATTTTTGCTTAATTAATTTTTAAATAGTATTTCAGTAAAACAATAGCGATATGGCGAAACATTTTAGCGGAATACTTTCAAAATTAAATTTGGGAGTAAATTACTTTACAATTGAGAAATATATTTCAGCTGTATTACGTTTGTGTGTGTGTGTGGAACATTTGGAAATATAATTATACATGAAAGAATCAAATTAATTTATATATTCCTTTAAAAATGTACAATTATTTCTAAGTTATAATTGAGCTATGTTGCAACATGAAATATTATATTATACATTCGATATGGCAAAGTTTCAAATAAAAAATAAAATGATTCTAAAAAAGAGCAAATAAATGAAAACTATATAAGTATAAAGTTTACTTAAGTATTTATGTGTTATCTACTAAAACTAAAATTCTCTCTCTTTTTTATTTAAATTGACGAACATTTAATAATTTCAATTGAAATGTTTTGTCTGAAAGTACTGCATTAAATTATGAAAAATATTGAAAGAGATTGTAATTTTACTTTTAAATATTGAAATAATTTTGTAATAATGTCCTAGACAAATATCCTCAATTAGATTTGTCTAATTTTGGCCAAATATTATTTTAAAATTATTCTGACAAAATGTCAATCATTTGCGAATTATAACGCAATCATTGTAAATACTTTTATAATTGTAATCATTGGAATCATTGGAAATTATACTTCATTTCATGATGCTATTATTATACAATGTTTGGGCAATTTTCCTATCGAAATATAGAGATATTTGAATTAGTATAGATATATAGATGTATAGATTAAGGAAAGTGGTTAAATGTGAGTGTAAGTAATAAGATGGAACGAGCTCTCCAGAATAATCTGAAGAGATATATATCTTGAACCTGTTTTTTGAATATACCGAATATAGGCATGCCGTTCAAAATTATGCGTGTGTGCTCGACCGTGTTGCTTGCTGTTTGTAACGTTATGTTCTACTTCTCACTGCAAACTGTATTTATCGTTGCTAAAAAATAGTCGATATGCCGAAGATATATTTCTTTAGATTGCTGTACACAGTTTCTCTTGCTGAATCTCGTGCACTAATTCGCCAATTCTTTTTAATTAATATTCAAATAATTATCATAGTTGTTTGCAAGATTGCAAAGGAGCTTTTTGTTCAGTTTGATTATTTCTACATACAAGCGGATGTACGTGTTATGTCACCCTGTCTAAAAAAGACAGGTTTTATTTTTATTTAATTTAATACCTCCAGCAAGGAATAAAAGATGTCGCCCACATAGTGAGACATTGTTTGAAAAGACTTCAGCGTGTTCTTTATATCGCTACCACATTTCCCATTTTCCGCATTTTTATTTTCGAGAAATCTGTTGCAGTTATTTGAACGTTCGTCGTGTTTGTCGTGTTTGCCCGATCCTTTCCCATCTGTCGATATCAGGCTACCATGTCCGGTGGAATTCCCACTTCGGCTTCCATGGTTCCCATTGATAGTCCCGTTTATGCCTTTTACACTGTTATTATTGCCGTGAGCGGTACTTCCTCCTATTCCATGACTGATAATGCCCCCATTTCCGCCGCTATTGTGTTTTTTACCATCGCCACTGGATTTTCCGTTGTGATTACGCGACAGTGTAGTATTTATTATTCCACCTATATGGTTATTTCCTCCCTTTAGCTCACCATCTTTCCTGTCTTTCTTAGTCCCATTTTTCGCCGATGACTCTTGATGTTCTTTTGATACGTTGTGACCACTATGATGTCCTTCATGCGAAATTACGACACTACCTCCTTTTTTAATATGACTACTTTGATTATCTTTTCCGTTATATCCTCGATCATTACCATTAGATTGTCCATGCGAGATTATAACTTTTCCTCCTCCTCCTACATGGATGCTGCTTTCTTTCTTTCCATCGTGATTATTCTGGTGTTTTCCATTGTGTTGTTCACTGCTTTGCCCACTATTACCATGGGAAATTATAACTTTACCTCCCCCTCCTGCTGCATGAATATCAGTGCCTTCCTTCTTTCCATCTTGATTATTCTGGTGTTTTCCGTTGTACTCTTTATCATTACTACTAGATTGCCCATTATTGCCATGAGTGATTATAACTTTTCCTCCTCCTCCTATATGGATGCTGCCTTCTTTCTCTTCACCATGATTATTCTGGTGTTTTCCACCGTGTTGTTCACTGGTTTGTCCACTATTACCATGGGAAATTATGACTTTACCTCCCCCTCCTGCTGCATGAATATCAGTGCTTTCCTTCTTTTCATTGTAATTATTCTGGTGTTTTCCGTCGTGTTCTTTATTATTACTATTAGATTGCCCATTATTGCCATGAGAGATTATAACTTTTCCTCCTCCTCCTACATGGATAGTGCCTTCTTTCTTTCCATCGTGATTATTCTGGTGTTTTCCATTGTGTTGTTCACTGGTTTGCTCACTATTGCCATGAGAAATTATAATTTTACCTCCTCCTCCTACATGGATACCAGTGCCTTCCTTCTTACCATCGTGATTATTTTGCTTTTTACCGTTATTTTGCTTTTTATCGTTACTGCTAGATTGGCCACCATTGCTATGCGAAATATTGATTTTTCCTCCTCCTCCTACATGGATACCACTACTTTCCTTCTTTTCATCGTAATTATTCTGGTGTTTTCCATTATGTCCTTTATCGTTACTACTGGACTGCCCACTATTGCCATGAGAGATTATAACTTTTCCTCCTCCTACGTGAGTACTGCCAGTGACTCCCTTCTTTCCATCGTAATTATTTTGGTATTTGTGAGATTCACTTTCGCTCTCATGTTTGCCATTGCTCGAGGTATCATCAGATTCTCCCCACGGTAAGAAGATAATGCCTCCTATTGCTACATCGGTATTTTCATTTATTTCGTTTCTTTTTATTGACTGTGTTTTGTCGTCATTTCCGCTGGCATCGCCCGATTCATCAAAGAAAGGTACAACGACTATTCCTCTTTCATCCCAATAATTACGATCTTCGTGCGACTCGCTTTGCCCATTATTGTGTTTCTTGCCATCTTTATTATTACTAATCGCTCCCGAGATCTCATGATTGTTGTTGGACACCTTCCACCATTTGTGATTTGTTTCGAATTCATTATGTTTATTGGAATGCTTTTCCTTCTGGCGGTTCTTAACGTCATCCGATGTTCCAAAATCCAGACCGCCCGCGCCGTTGAGCGACATCCCGATATCAATACCGTTTTTATCGATTGAAAATTTGGGTTTAACCCCGATTCCACCTGCGCCTAAATTGCACCAGAATTGTATTTGATATAGCGTAGTAATGTTTATTGCAAAAGGGATAACGATTGATATAATTACCACTGATATCGAAGCCTATCTTTTCGCTTTCTTTTGATTCATCACCTAGTCCAAGTATATCTAGTATACTAGTTAATGGTTTTAATGGTTTCATATTGAAATTTTTTTCAAATTCTCCGCTTAAACGATCTGGACCCATAGAAACCGAGACACTATCCTTGAATGAGGCATTATCCTATGTAAAAAAGGAAAGTGAATAGTTATGAAAGTGATTCGCTATTTTCTCTTAGTAATCCCTAATACTAATTCTTAAAATGAGTAAAGTTGTCACTTATGTTCGGACATTTTTAATCATTTTGCATTTCTCCCCACCCCGAAATTTGTTAGTTTGGATATGTACTCCAAAAAAAGTTAATATGACACTAGAAGCTTACACTGAAAAAAAATAGCTGATCTAACGAAAATTATAGTTATTTTTGGCAGTAGCCATATTTTTTGGTTGTACTAACACGAAAATAATAATAGTGACATGCATATAAGCTTATTATCACTAACATTGTAGTAGAATTTAATAAAAAAGATAGTTTCCTTGATTATTCATAAAAATTATTTTTCTTTATGTTTATATAATTACAAATACTAAACATTTTCTTTCAGTGCAATAGCAAGAAAATTCGTTAATTACTGTCTGAATAGCAACAGGAATAAATCACGTAAATCCTAAACACAAATGACTAGTCCCATTAACTTAATATAGACTTTTTATATAGGTAAGTGAAAGTTTGTTTTATTTATATATTATATATTTTAATAATTTTTAAATGTTATTTTCATTTTATTTAACTAATGTTAAATAAAATGAAAAATAACTAAATTAAATAATTAACAAAATTTTTTATTTTAATTTGAAATTTGGCAAGATCATTAAAATGAAGAAACATGAGAACTGTTAACAACGTTTTTGTGGATGTATATTTCTTTTTCCGATTTTTGTACTTTTTATGTTTCTCATTTCTTTTCTTACTTTTGTATAATACGTAGAATTTTTTTAAAAATATTATTTTGTCGTATTTTCTCATACAAATATACACCATTTTAACATGCCGAAATTATTCAATATTTTTCAAGATACTAGTTGTAATCTATTAGTAATCTATTAATAATTTATTAATTGAGATATGAAAATAGCTACATAAATTTTTTAAGAATTTTTCAACGATTTTAAGTTAAAGAAAAAATATGTCAGACTTGAATATTCATTACTAAGGTGCCGAAAATATTTACCATAAGAGTTATTTGTGACAAAGTAAGTAAGAAATTTATGATTTTTACGACGTATATATATATATATATATATATATATATATATATATATATATATATATATATATATATATATATAT